GCTACTCGGAAGGCTGAAGTGGGATAATAGCTTGAACTCAGGAGGTAGAGGTTTCAGTAAACCAAGATGACGCCACTGCACTCCAGTCCAGGTGATAGAGTGAGAGTCTGTCTCAGGGGAAAAAAAAAAAATTCATACTTCTCTAATTTTCTAAATTATAAATGAAATTATCTGAACTTTCTCCTATGTAAAAAGTGTTAGCACTAAAACATTAATTCTATATTTCAATAGTTCCAGTGTTTATTACCTGTCATTTAATAACCACTTTTTTTTTTTTTTTTTTTTTGGTTAGTGGGGAGATGGAGTCTCGCTGTTGCCCAGGCTGGAACGCAGTGGCACAATCTCAGCTCACTGCAACCTCCGCCTCCCGGTTCCAGCAATCCTCCTGCCTCAGCCTCCTGAGTAGCTAGGACTACAGGAGCACACTACCATACCCGGCTAATTATTATTATTATTATTTTTTGAGATGAAGTCTCACTCTTTCACCCAGGCTGGAGTGCAGTAGCGTGATCTTGGCTCACTGCAACCTCCCCCTCCCAGGTTCAACCAATCTTCCTGTCTCAGCTACTGAGTAGCTGGGATTACAGGAGCCCACCACCATGCTTGGCTAATTTTTGTATTTTTAGTAGAGATGGGGTTTCACCATGTTGGCCAGGCTGGTCTTGAACTCCTGACCTCGTGATCGGCCTCCCAAAGTGCTGGGATTACTGGGATGAGCCACCACACCCGGCCCCATCTAATCTTTGTATTTTTAGTAGAGACAGGGTTTTGTCGTGTTGGCCAGGCTGGTCTTGAACTCCTTACCTCAGGTGAACCACCCGAATTGGCCTCCTAAAGTGCTGGGATTACAAGTGTGAGCCACTGTGTCCAGCCAATAACCATACTTTTAATGCTGATCAATCTCTTGCTTGATAGAGGTGTAGGGTGTTGGAGCTGTCCTCCAAATTATCCTCTATGTGCATCACTTTCTCCATGATGCCCATAAAGTACTTCCTTGACCCCTTTTCCAGGTCTTCTCCCATTCCTAAATCTTTTCACTCCATTTTATCCTCAATTTCTACCTCCTTGTCTGAAGGTTCCACCACTTCCCTATCAAATGGTAGTTGTTTGTTTTCATACCATGCACCCTCAGGGGTAGGAGAGTGTTTTGGTGTTCTCCTTACAGCCCACTGAGACCTCAAAATCTCTAGTAGTAAACTACCCTCCACTTCCCATTCTATTCTTATGTCAATGTCTACATGTATGATCTATCCATCACCACAGTAATTCATTTTCATAACCTCTTTATCTCCAATAACCTCCTTCATTTCACCTAAGCCAGCAATTTCCAATGGCTATGACTTGGTTTTTGACATTATCTATAACTATCCAACCTCTGAAATCACTAACACAAATATCTTACTGTCTTATAACTTCCTCTTCATCCAACTTGCACGTTCAACTACTTTGTTCAATTTTATCTGGGATTTCCAAACCACTGAACTTTCTATCTTCTCCCAGACTTTCTTTTTTTTTTTTTTTTTGAGACAGAGTGTTGCTCTGTTGCCCAGGCTGGAGTGCAGTGGTGTGATCTTGGCTCACTGCAACCTCTGCCTCCCAGGTTCAAGTGATTCTCCAGCCTCAGCCTCCAAAGGAGTTGGGACTACAGGCAGGCGCTGCCATGCCCAGCTAATTTTTGTATTTTTAGAAGAGATGGTGTTTCGCCATGTTGGGCAGGCTGGTCTTGAACTCCTGACCTCAAGAGATCTGCCCATCTTGGCCTCCCAAAGTGCTGAGATTACAGGCATGAGCCACTGTGCCCGGCTTCCCAGACTATTAACCCTCTACTTTCTTCACTTCTCCCTCTATCCCACTTAGATTCCACCATCCACCATTTCAGTAACATTCTTGCCAGTATTCTAAACTTCCTTGCCTCTTTGTCTCTTCATTGTGCTCATGTGGCAAAATCCAGTGCTGAGTAAATCCAGCCATCTGTTTTTTCTAAGGCTGTGACTGGTGAACTCACTTCTATCCCAAAACACAAGATAGAATGTTTTGTTATAAATCATGACTCCAACTTCAAAAAGGATCCTCAATACTGCTTACCATTCTACCACATTTTCCTGATCAACTGATACTCTTCTATTTCCCTGAATAACTATTTTCAAACCTCCTTCACTCTACTCCCAACTTATGACCAACCTTCCTTTTCCTCCAGCCATCCTCAATAGCTAAACTCGGCATCTACTTTACAAAGAAAATAGAATCAAATGAGAGCTCCTCAGCTTTCCCCATGCCAAACACACAAACCAACTTATATTTGCTTCCCATACTGTTAAAACAGAGGAGCTATCTTATGTCCTGTTTAAGAATCCATCTCCTTCCATCTTAGAATTTATTGTTTTATCTCTGCTCCTTCTCATTGTTTTTACACACGATTAAATCTCTCTGAATAAACCAAAACCCAGCTCTACTCAATTATATATCCTTCTTTAGCTATTTCCTACTGGTGATTTTCATCAGAAAAAAAATTTGTTACACAAGTATACAGAAATTTATTAGGTACGTCATATGTGCTTAGAGGTTTCTAAAAATAAAACTACATGATTTGGTACTTATGGAAATATTTCATGTGTATGTTTATAGGAAAAGAATATACTCAACTTGGTAGAATGTATCTTAGTTAAGATACATGGAGATACGAGATAATAGGTTCTACATTCTTACTGCAAAAGTCATAGAGCCAAATGGTTTGCATAAGGATCACTCCTATTGTTAGAGCCATGGAATCCTCATCTCATGCTACTAACATTCTAATGTGCAAAGATCACAAATAAGTAAACACTCAGGGGCAGAGCAACAGTGATCTTGTGAATTTCACCTTGGAAGATGGAAGAGCTAGGGAGGCATGAAAGGAAGGGACAAAAAGTGAGATGATATCGGGGGGAATATGGTAGCAAAGAAAAGCAGCCTAAGAAAATGGTGACCAGAATAAAATAAAAATAAATCTAAGTGCTCAGGAATCCACATAGCCTTGTCTACCCAAGTTGGTTGACAAGGTTAAACAAGACAGGCTGAATTGGTAGGCACTAGAAACTATTCTCTTGAGTGAACGTGTATACATTGTTATCATCTCTAGCAGTCTTCTGCATTGATGGTTCTCTCTGTCTTTTGCTGCCCTCATAGAAGTTCAAGCTCATTCAGAAGGGGAACAACAGATAAAAGGTCAAGATCTCTTGGTCTCTCTCTCATAGCTAAACTTTTTGAAGAAGTTGTCAATTTCTATTGTGTCTCCACTTCTGCAACTCTCAATCATTCCTTTACCCAATCCAGTTTGGCTTTCAGCTCCATGGCTTAATCAATATAGCTCTTGCTAAATCTCTTCAAAATATATGGCATGGTTTATTACCTTATTCTTGAAATAATCTTTTCCTTTGGTTTACATGATACAACCCTCTTCTAGCTGTTCTCCTACTTCTGAGGTTGCCACTTTCTTTTGTCTTTGTTGCCAAATCTTCCTCAATACACGCTGCTTTTCCTCCTGCCATAGGGCCTTTCATGTAAGTCTTCCCTCATCATGAAACACTTCCTTTTCATTCCTTGCCTAACTCCCAGTCAGCATTCAGATATCAATTTAATCAACACTTCCTTGGGAAACTGTTCCTGACTAACTAAGACAAATTCCTCCCTAGCTAAGTCAAATGGTCTCAGAGCACTACTCCTTCAAGAACAATTATCATAGTTGTCTCCCATGCAGCAGTTGTAAATATCATAAGAATAGGAACTGTGTGTTTTTATTCATTATTATTCATTATGTGTTTTTATTCATTACAATGCATACTACTGTATTATAGTAGGTATCAATACATTGACACTCACATATCAATGTTACATATATAAACAAATGACTAAACACTTTATCTGAAGTACTTTGAATGATTTTTTTTCCAATTAAAGGAGTCTTGACTAAAATATTATCTATTCATTCAAACTAACAATTACTGAGTACACAGGCACTAACCAATAAATTAGAATAAAGAGGTAACAAAAACAGATATGCTCTCTACCCTTATGATGCATAGTATCTAAAGAAAGAGTTATTAAATTAATCATACAAGTAAGTTTATTATTATGGTTTTATTTATATGCTACAAAAGACAGTTTAGAATGATGTAAACTATGATGGGGTATCTAATTTACACCGTTGGGAGGCAAAAATACGTTCTACCTCTCAAGAGCTGTTTATCTCCTTTGGTGTTGATGGTTTTTCATGGTCTTTGAACATTTTCCCAGTTTACTCATCTTTGAATAAGGATACTGTGGCCTGGTATTAGCCCCAAAATTAGATGGAGTATCCTTGAATTCTCCAAAAGCTTATCCATGGATAGGAAGGCTATGGATAAACATTTAAAACAACATTTCACGTGCCAATGCCAGCCCCTCATATTCTGCTTTTGTTTTGGGAATTCTTGTGTTTGGATGGCAAAAGAGAGATGCTGCTGGTGTGGGATCATGGGACATAAAACATTCTGATGATACTGAAAACCAGCATTCCAAGGTGGGTTAGCATCTCAGTTTGGCTGCATTCTAAGCCCTGGGGAATACAGGGCTTGGGTGGAAGAGAGTAAAGGGAACGGGGAACGGGAGATGAGGAAAAAAAGAGGGTTTTTCTTCCAATTTTCATGACTTACAGGTGGCCAAACAATTCAATGGCCTTATACAGTTAGTGAAAATAGCTCTCAAAATCAGTCAATACATTAAGTGTTCTTCCTAGTATTACACGAGTTTGTAATTTTTTTCTATACTTCATTAAGTATGTCAGTGACAAACTGGGCAAGGCTGTAACTACGGCTAATCAGATATCATTTTAAACTAGAACTCATTACTTTCTTTCAAACACGGGATGAAGGTGTAATTAGTATTCCGAGTAACTACTATGTTAAGTGGAAAATAAGTTAGAGAATAAGTACATTAAAGTGGATTTTAGTTCTATGATATTAAATACTGTTAACGATACTCACTGTTCTGAAATTCCTTGTACTTCCTTTGCCCAGTTAGATTGTTCTTTATCTCCAAGATGAACCACTTTAGATGGTGGGGCAGTTCTTCCTGAATAAAGCTTCTGTGTTCCTGGAGGTTCTTCCAAGTAAAACCTTAAAAGTTAAAATAAAAACTATATAACCAAAATGTTCTGGTTTAATATAGAGTTCTAGCAGTGTGAGTCTTCCAAATGAAATTTTTTTTTTCACATGGTATAATAGCAAAAAATCCCACAACTGTTATGTAAATTACAGAACTAAAATAATTATAATTCTTTTTATAAACTATAATATAAATTGCAGAACGAGGGCTTAATTTCATTCAAATTTTAAAAGCATGGGAAGTATAGAGGAAGAAGATAAGCTGGTTAGTACAAAGTTAGATAGAAGGAATAAGTTCCAGTGTCCTGTAGCAACAGTAGGTTGACTCTAGTTAACAATTTAGTGTCCTATATTCGAAAATAGCTAGAAGAGATTGAAAATGTTCCCAACACAAAGAAATGATAAGTGTTTGAGGTAATGGATAATTTGAAAATTACATGTTATATACATGATCAAAATATCACATGTATTCTACAAATATGTACAATTATTATGTATCAAAAAGTGTTAAGGTTGGGTGCGGGGGCTCATGCAGATCATAGCATTTTGGGAGGCCGAGATGTGAGGATTGCTTGAGGCCAGAAATTCAAGACCAACCTGGCAACATATTGAGACAGTGTCTCTACAGAGAAAAATAAAAAACTATGCCAGGTATGGTAACACATATCTGTAGTCTCAGATACTCGGGAAGCTAAGATGAGAGGATCACTAGAGCCCAGAAGTTTGAGGTTGCAGTGAGCTATGATTGCCACTGCACTCCGGGCAACAGAGCAAGACCCTGTCTCTCCCAGTCAGTCAATCAGTCAATAAAATTTAAAAGCATATTATTAGGCCGGGCGCGGTGGCTCACGCCTGTAATCCCAGCACTTTGGGAGGCCGAGGCAGGCGGATCACAAGGTCAGGAGATTGAGACCATCCTGGCTAACACGGTGAAACCCCGTCTCTGCTAAAAATACAAAAAAATTTGCCAGACGTGGTGGCGGCACAGTCCCAGCTACTCGGGAGGCTGAGGCAGGAGAATGGCGTGAACCCGGGAGGCGGAGCTTGCAGCGAGCCGAGATCGCGCCACTGTACTCCAGCCTGGGCGACAGAGCGAGACTCCATCTCAGTTAAAAAAAAAAAAAAAAAAAAAAGCATATTATTTTTTTCTCTTTAAGAAACTAAACATATAATAAAAATAAACATTTTTAAAGAGTTAAAAAATACAAATTCAATAAAAAGTATGCATTATTATCTATAAAGTTTGTTTTTTTGTTTTTTTTAAAGAGACGGGGTCTCATTCTGTCACCCAAGCTGGAATACAATGGAGTGATCATAGCTCGCTACAGCCTCAAACTTCTGGGCTCAAACAATCCTCTTGCCTCAGTCTCTTGAGCAGCTAGGACTACAGGTGCACGCCACTATGCCTAGCTAATGTTTTAATTTTTTCATAGAGACAGAGTCTCACTATGATGCCCAGGCTGGTCTTGAACTCCTGGCCTCAAGAGATCCTCCCACCTTGGCCTCCCGAAGTGCTGCGATTACAGGTGTGAGCCATCACACCTGGCCCCTATAAAGTATTTTCCCCAAAAAAGTTTAACCTGAATCTAATTAAGCTACTAACCCTAACTTCCAACTTACAGGAAATATGTAGGATAGAGGACAAAGTTAAATGACACTAAAAGGAAACAACAGGGTAAATCTAGAATTCTACAAAATAACTGGCTGTCCTGAACTCTAAAAATAAAATAGAAAAGAAAAAAATATTCTAAGATATAAAATCAACATAAGAAATCAACTGTATTTTTATATACTAGCAGGGGAAACAAATTTAAAACATAATACCATTCATACTCACTCCAAGAAAAATTACATAAGTCTAACAAAACATGTACCTGATCAGTATGACAAAAAAAAAACCAAACACTGAGAGAGAAATCAAAGATCTAAATAAATGAAGAGATATATTGTGTTCATGGATCAGAATATTCAACTTAGTTAAATCTCCCCAAATTGATCTATAGGTTTAATACAATTCCTATAAAAATCCCTCCAAGATTTTTTGGAGATAGAGGAGAATTATAAAATTTATACGGAAAGGCAAAGGACCTAAAATAGCTAAAACAATTCTGGAAAAAAAAAAAAAAAGTAAAGTTGAAGGAATCACACTACCTGATGTTAATTAAGACTTAAAACATGGTAATCAAGCCAATGTGTTAATGTGTCATTGGCATAAAAAAAGACATGGAGGAAGCACAGTCTTTTCAACAAATGATGTTGGAGCAACTGAATATTCATACACAAATATATGAAAGTAGATCTACCCCTTATACCTTATACAAAAATTAATTCAAAATGGATTACTGATTTCATGTAAAATGAGGTAAACCTATAAAACTTTTCAAAGAAAATCTTCAGGATCTAGGGCTGGAATAAGAGCTCTTAGACATGAAATCAAAAGCATAAAAAAATTAATAAATTGGACTTCATCAGAAAGGTAGAGGAATTAAATTCCGATTAAAAAAACCCTCAAGATTTCATATACAAAAGCAGATGCCAATAAAGGAAAAAACCATACTGGCACTGACTTCTCATCAACACTACATTAACGGAGAGATGTATGCAGAGCTCTAAGAGAAAAGGAAAAGAAACTGGGCCTCCAAAATTCGAAACCTATGTGTGAATTAAAAAAAAACAAAACATTTTTGATGTGTAATAACTCAAAATAAAAAAACCATAATATCTACCCATCTTCTCTGAAAAAAAATTATTTCAGAAAATTCTAGCCATATGAAAAATAAAATATAAGAAATCAAGATAAAATTTATATGAATGACTAAAAGAGAAATATACTTGCTAAGTGATATAATGATGACCACTTTCAGAAAAGAATTAGGATACAAAATTTCCAAGCAATTAAAAGGGAAAAAAATAACATAGGCATCTAAAACGTTTCAAGAGAGGTACAATAAACTGTCAATAGTGTTTGAACTTCAAGTGGTGTCGTTAGACTTTCATTTTTGGTATAGCGTGTAAATGTTCTTAATATAATTTTGTCAGTTAAAAAAATGAATCAATAAAAGCCATCAAAGTAACAAAGCAAATATATGTTAGAAAAATTATAAATCAAATCTTACTTACTTAGTTTCTCCATCTGATACAGCCACAACTCTAGCTTCCTCAAGGTGAGGCCAATTAACAAAGACAGATTTTCCGAGCACTGATGAAGCTACATTTTCTATGGTCTTAAAGTAAAAGCAAAAAAGTTCATTCATGATTTCGGGTCTAAGAGAAAACTTTACATAGGCAAAATTTTCCAATCTCCATTTAAGTTTTTTAAATTCTAAAATAAACAAGCTGGGGCTGGGTGCAGTGACTCACACCTGTAATCCCAGATGGTCAAGACCAGCTTGGCAAACATGATGAAATCCTGTCTCTACTAAAATTACAAAAATTAGCCAGGCGAGGTGGCATACGCCATAGTCCCAGCTACCCGGAGGCTGAGACAGCAGAATCGCTTGAATCTGGGAGGTGGAGGTTGCAGTGAGGTGAGATTGCGCCACTGCACTCCAGGCTAGGCAACAGAGCAAGACTCCATCTCAAAAATAAATAAATAAAATGAACAAGTTGGATGAGTTGCTTTACAAAATTCCATCTTTCATCCAGGTGTAAAACTCTATCATTCTAATTATCTTGCTTATTTTTTTATGGTAACTGGGAAAAGTAAAAAGAACAGCAGAAATATCTAGAAAAGAACTATTCACTGTTTCATATTACGTAGTCAATTATTTAAAACAGGATCTAAGAAATACAATCTCATTTCAGTTTATAGCTGGTGTGATGAAAAAAGAATATTAGACTTAAAATCAGGAGACACAGGTCCAAATTTGGGTTCTACCACTTTTTCAGCTATAGAATAATCTTTGGCATATCATTTAATCCCACTGAGTCTCAGTTTTCTTTTATGAGGAACAGGAATAACATCTACCTTACAACGTTGAGGATAAGAGAAAATCATATACATGAAAGCTTTCATAAACCATAAAATACTCTACAAATATACTGTAGGAAATAATATTTTAAGTAAAAAATTTTAGTTTTAAGAAACTGTAGGCCGGGGGCGCTGCAGCTCACGCCTGTAATCCCAGTACTTTGGGAGGCCAAGGCAGGTGGATCACGAAGTCAGAAGTTCAAGACCAGCCTGGCCAAGATGGTGAAACCCGGTCTCTACTAAAAACACACACACACACACACACACACACAAAATTAGCCAGGCACGCTAACTGACAGGTGCTTATAATTCCAGCTAGTCGGGAGGCTGAGGCAGGAGAATCGCTCCTGGGCAGCAGAGGTTGCAGTGAGCCAAGATCGCGCCACTGCACTTCAGCCTGGGTGAAAGAGTGAGACTCTGCCTCAAAAAAAAAAAAAAGAAAAAAGAAAAAAGAAAAAAGAAACTATATTATCCAATTCAATTTAACCATATTGGCTGGACAGCAATAATTTTGCAATAGAAACTGAAGTTTAAATACAAATGTTCATTCATCTTTTTTCTGTTTATTATCCTTAATCATTATTAATAATTTATTTAAATAATTACAGATAACTATTTTTAGGCTTTTTTGGGGTAACTTTTATTTTGATATTTAGACATTTCTAACTTTGAACATACAAAACAATAGAACACATATTCTGATAAACAAAACAGTTTTAACATTAAAACTAGACTCCCTCAGTTATCCTTTTCCCTTCTATATATCTAATTCTAATTTCATTCTCCCACTCTTTCCTTTAGTTTTTGAAGAAACAGTTGTCTTCCTTTCCCAGATTAATCCTTTTATTTAAGCCCCAGGTGAAATTCCTTATTAAGTCACATGGGGTCCTGTCATGATAAACATCCTTTCCCTCTACACTGCCTTTAAAACCTCCTTTCTCCATTAGCTCTCCCTCATTTCTTTGGTAGGGATTTTGATTCATCGGATTCATTGGCTGCATCTTCTCTTATTTATAGTTATGCTTCTGGCATCCCTTTCAATGATAAACTTCTTGGTCAGGCATGGTGGCTCACACCTGTCATCCCAGCACTTTGGGAGGCCCAGGCAGGTGGATCACCTGAGGTTGGGAGCTCGAGACCAGCTTGGCCAACATTGTGAAACCCTGACTCTACTAAAACTACAAAAATTAGTCAGGCGTGGTGGGGGGGTGCCTGTAATCCCAGCTACTCGGGAGGCTGATGCAGGAGAATAGCTTGAACCCGGGAGGCAGAGGTTGCAGTGAGCCAAGATTGTGCCACTGCACTCTAGCCTAGGCAACAGAGTGAGACTCCATCAAACAAACAAACAAACAAATAAATAAATAACTTATTGACCAAGGGCTTAATACTTGCTACCTTTACTTCCCGTCTACCCAATCTTAGCCTAGTTCTCAGGAACTGAAATTCTGCTTCCACCAATCTACTGAAATGGAATTTTCAAACATCAACATTGATGTTCTAATAGACAAATTCACAGATCTTATTTGAGTTTTTATTCTTCTTCAGATTTATGCAGCCTACATCCTCTGCTCCATGTTTCTGTGGTACTATTTAACTTTGGAATCATTCTTTCTTACCTCTGTATTTCTATCAGCTCCCTCACCACCACCATTTATAACTGTGGGTATTTCTTTATGCTGAGACCATGAACACTCAATGTACCTTGTCTTCAGCGAAATGAACCTCAAAGTGATCAATTCTCTGTCGACAACTTGAATATCCTTATCTCTCTCTAAGCTCTATCTCCAGGTATTTAACTGTACATAAACAGCCTTTCTTTTTTCTTTTTTGAGATGGAGTTTTGCTCTCGTCACCCAGGCTGGAGTGCAATGGCATGATTTTGGCTCACTGCAACCTCCACCTCCTGGGTTCAAGCAATTCTCCTGCCTCAGCCTCCCGAGAAGCTGGGATTACAGGCGCCCACCACCACGCCCGGCTAATTTTTGTATTTTCAGTAGAGACGGGGTTTCACCATGTTGGCCAGGCTTGTCTTCAATTCCTCATCTCAGATGATCTGCCCGCCTCAGCCTCCCAAAGTGCTGGGATTACAGACATAAGCCACCGTGTCCAGCCGTAAACAGCCTTTCTAAACAGGTTTTTCACCTGAATCAGAGAACACAAAATATGTCTACTTTCTCTATTCTCTCAAGGATGGTACATAGCTCCTACTGTTCTACAAGCACAGAAGTTAATGTATTGCTTGCAATGAATGACTTAGGGCATTAAGGCTTATACATCTTGTGGAACACTGGTTAAGAAAGGCTGGCAAGGCAGTTCCAGTTAAACACCCTAGTGTCACCTTAAAATTCCATCATTATTCATCGTTTCGTCCCCCTAAACCATCAACTCCCCTGTTTTAACTTTTCAAGTCCAGTAAACTACAGTTTTTTGTTTTTTAAGTTAATTAGCAGGGATATCTCAGTCACATTTACTATTAATAGTTTCTCTTTTCACCCCCTGTATTTGATCAAATAATGAAACCTATCAGTTTTACTTCGTATTGTTCATCTAGATCTATCGCTACTTCCGCAGTTTATGTCTCTATCACCTGATGCTATATCTACAAGCTTTCCCGCTTTCTTCAATTTCTCTTTTGTGCAATTTAGTTTATTATACTGCCACCAAATTAATCTTTATGAAAATACCAATTTCAAGATAATGGTCATGGGAAAATAAGTCCAAACGCCTTAGCCTGGTACTCAAGGTTCTCCATAATCTAGCCTCAATCTGATTTTTCACCCTTATCTTCTACTATTTCCAAACACAAATCCTCGGCTTCAATAAGGCTTATTTATTCCTTCTACTCAAATATATCACATTTATTCTAAAGAAAAGAATAAGTGTTAAGAAATAGTTCAGACACACAAAAAGGTTAAAAACAATAATATATCACATTTTTTACTGAAATGACTGGCTCATGATATTTCTTTCTACTAGAATGCCTTCCCCTCCTTTTCTTTGTCCTAACCTGTTTTTTCAGCACTCAGCTCAAGCCTATTCTCATTTACAAGTTTATACTTAACTTTTGGTTTACATAGCTTGTCTCCTTTTTAAAATTTCTAGAAAATTTGCATATTCATTGTGTCACAATGATACAGGTTCTTGAACTATTATCTAATTTGTATGAATGTTTCTTTGCTTTATCCTTATTTAGGCTCCAAATTTCTAGAGTTATAACATATAATACCTCCTTGATAAACATCTCAGCAGTTATAGTTTAATACATTATAAGCATCTAATAAATGAATGATAAATAAAATACTTACAAGTTCATCTGATTCTGCATCCACTAAGATTTCCAACATCATGTTTTCTCCACGACTGCTTTGCTGGAATACTTGAACGCCACTTTTCTTCAAAAAAAACTTTAAAAAAATTCAAAGAATTTAATTTTAATTCTTTCTCTACAATCACTTCACACTTCATAGAAGTGAAAAAATTCTGAATTAAATAGCCACTGACTTTGTGTTTGATGTGTTTCAGAGTAGGAAATCCACAGAAATATAATGCCTTCTGGTCAACTCTGGTTATTTTGTTTTTGTTTATGTCTACACGCCAAGCATCTAACGATATTATTTTATACCTAGAAAATAAATCAAGGTATTTAATTTAAAATTAATACATTACAAACAATTACAGTTTTTAAACTTTCCCTTGAATATTTCGTAAGGTTCATCCTTGTTTTTAAAGAAGAGAATGACAATAAGTTCCAGATGAAGAAAACACAAGCAGATAACCAGCCTCTCCACTGTTATTGGTCTAGACACAATCTTCCCTGTAGATTACTAAGTTGAGATCTTCCCCATTAATCTAAAACAAAACTGTATATATAAGTTTTAAGAGAAAATATGACACGTAACACAAATCTCTATATCCTCCATGTTCCAAAACCCAGGATGGAAAATAAACATTTTATAATGCCTATTTTATCCTTCTCTTTCCTTTAACAAAAGGAAAAGTTGTAACTGAGAGATGTTTACTTTATTTGCCACTGAATTGCCATCTAGGTAGATTATCTGCAGGGAAGGTGAGAGAAGAGAAAAAACAAGGAAGTAATGAAGAGAAAAAAATGGAGCTCTTTATTTCTTATTTCCGTCTTTCTAGTTGGGTGGCCGGGGGGTATAATCATCAATGTCACAGCATTACCAAATAATGCTGGGAGCAGAGACATTGACAATGAAAACAAAAATTCACATATCCATTCGAGGGAGACAAAATGCAGGGATATACATTAGAGAGAAAAAATTCAAACGCTTTTAATAGAAGAAGGAAAGAGAAATGCAGAATCTGACCAAAGTAGAGAATTATAGACACAAGTGTGAGAGATCCTTAGATCCTTGGCAAGTTAGATGTAACTCACTGATTATCAATTGACTATAACTGTCATAGACTATTTGCTAATTCTCCAAACAGATATTCAAAGCTCCCTCTCCCCTACTTCTCGCACCCTTGTGTTAGGAGGACTCTTTTGTTGTTGAAAAATTACCAAGTAACATTACCTTGTACAACACCGTTCTATGGCAGGGAACTTTTCCGGCCATGGAGAAGGATAGACAAACTCTGTGTCTCTATCATACCAGCACATTAGGCACTCACTATGTTGGTTTCTTTTCCTCTCTTCTTTTTTGAGGGAGTGGTTACATGTCTCCATGGCTTCCAATAATCGCTTCTGAATATAAGGATTGACAAGAAGGGTTAAAAGTATAAAAATTCTGTAATCTCAACAAACAGAGTAAGTCTTTTTCCTCCATATACAGTATAACCATTTGTGCTCTTGAAAAACAAAATCTTAACTAATGAAACTCTTCCATTTCATTGCATGAAAAATATGCTATTTGTTGTTTCAAAGGGCCCTAGAATACCGCTGCCACTGCAAAGTCCTCTGAAGCTATTACCCCAACAGTAGCCACTAACGTGCAAATAAGCAAGGCAGCAGAAAATAAAATTTTAAGTGTGAATCTATTATAATTATTATATCATAATTCACAGAGCATTAATCTCTTTACAAATTCTGTAGTAGTATAGCACCGTCCATCTTTCCAAATTAACTTATACATTTAAAGTAATTCCAATCAGGATATTAATGATTTAAAATATCTTTTTTTTTTTAAAAAAAGGGCAAGATACCAGTGTTAATATAGAAGAATGAATGTATGAACAGTAAAAAGTAACCTGGGACTTGTCTTACCAGATCCTATCACTTTTGATAAAGCTACTGTAATCAAAACACTAGTACTGACACTACAAGAGACCCACAGACCAGAAGAACAGAATAGATAGAGTTCAATAATAGACCCAAATCTATGCCAAAACACAGTCCTTTAGGTATTTAAATAATAATGTCCTAACTAGCTATCCAGCTGGAAAAAAAGCACATACAATTCTGAACTTCCTACCATATATAAAAGCAAGTATCCCAATAACAAAATAATAAATGTATCAGAAGAAAATCTAGGTGGTATTGATAATTTAGTGTGATAAACTTTTATTTAAGGAAGACAGAAAAAAACCTAACAGCCTTAAGGGGAAAGACATTTTTTAAGTAAAAGATAATGTATATGACAGAAAATGCCATATACAAATCAAGAGACAGATGTGAGACTGGGGAAAACTATTTCTAATATACAAAGTAGCTAAAAATCAAAAGAAAAAAAGAAAGAAAAATGGGGGAAAGAATAAAACAAGCAAATTACAAAAGAGAAAATGCAAAAGGTAAACATACATAAAAGTATTTTCAATAAGACATACAGACCAATGGAACAAAATAGCCCAGAAATAAATCCATAATTTATAGCCGTCTGATTTTTGACAAGGTTGCCAAGAACACACAACAGGGCAAGGATTGCCTCTTCAATAAATGGTGTTGTGACAACTGAACATCCATATGCAGAAGAATAAAACTGGACTTTTATCTTACCATAAACAAAATCAACTCAAAATGGATTAAAAACCTAAACATTAAGACCTTAAAGTATAAAACTACTAGAAAAAAACATAGGACAGAAACCTCTTGACACTGGTCTTGGCAATAATTTTTTGGATATGACTGGTGACACGGCTGAATTAATAAAGTCATATTTGGGAAAAGTACATGGCAAAAAGGCATAAACATTTTTGTTCATGTTTTGAGACAGGGATTTGCTCTGACACCCACGCTGGAGTGCAGTGAGGCAATCATGGCTCACTGCAGCCTCGACCTCCTGGGCTCAAGCGATCCTCTCACTTCAGCCTCCCAGGCAGTTGGGAATACAGGCATACACCACAATATCCAGTTAATTTTTTTTGGAGGGGTAGAGGTTGGGTCTTGCTATGTTGCCCAGGGTGGGCTTGAATTCCTGGGCTCAGGCAATCCTCCCAAAGTGTTGAGATTACAGGCGTGAGCCATAAACATTATTTTTGATGAGAATTTCAGCTGGAGGATGAGCAGAACAGTTGTCAAGATATAACAAAATCTTGCAGTCATCATCCAGTCAGCTTCCCTGCAGTGAGCACAAGCTGCTGGTACAAAATGTTTGTGAAATCAATCTGAAAAGATGTCCCTGGTGATCCATGCCTTTTTATCAGCATAATAATGGATTGGTATTAAATTAACACCTTGAAAACAGTGAGAACGCAAGCTTTTGCCTATCACAGCAAGTTTACACTTATGCATGCCTGCTGCATAAGCATAACCCAGCACAGTTATTTGGTCCTTGGCATCTTTAATTCTTGGAAGGGCTGTTTCATCAGCCGCAGTCAGTGTCTTTCTAGGGCAAAAATGCCCAAACGGTAATGTTTCATCAGCATTACAGACTTGTTCTGACATCACTAGCAAAGACCGTGGCAAACGTGTCAATGAATTTCTCTTACTTCATGATAAGCAGGTGCTTTATCATCCTATTTACAAGTTCAGTGCTGTGACTTTTTAAATTTATTTATTTTTGAGATGGAGTCTCACTCTATCACCCAGGCTAGAGTGCAGTGGCACAATCTCGGCTCACTGCAACCTCCATCTCCTGAATTCAAGTAATTGCCATGCCTCAGCCTCCTGAGTAGCTGGGACTACAGGCGTGAACCACCAACAGGGCTAATTTTTGTATTTTTAGTACGGTCGGGGTTTCACCATGTTGGCCAGGCTGGTCTTGAACTCCTGACCTCAAGTGATCTGCCCAACTTGGCCTCCCAAAGTGCTGGGATTACAGGCATGAGGCACTGTGCCCAGCCTACTTTTTCATTTTTATTATTACTATTTTTTAGTATGGAATGCTTCATGAATTTGTATGTCATGCTTGCGCAAGGGCCATGCTAATCTTCTCTGTATCATTCCAGTTTTTTAAAGCATATGTACACTGACGAGAGCGTTACGTCTTTTTTTAAACTTTTGCAACCAGTATGTTGAATGTTCACACTTCTCTCCAATTTCCAGTTCACTGTGATAGATCTGTTTGTTTCATTATCAGCCTGCCATTAAATGGCATGTATTCACAGCAGTGCTGACAAATGTAGTACTTCAATACATGATTGATATCCTCATTTGTAGCTTTATGCAGTATTCTCTTTTTCATTAACTTCTGCTCATCACTTTCAGCACAGAATGTTAACAGCTCACCCTTCTGTTTCTTCAGGTCATATATGGACATTATAATATCATACTCTTCTAAAAGACAGTTCACACTTACACCGTAGTCAAGTTTCTCCAACAACTTGACTTTCTATGCTACAGGAAAACATAAATGCTTCCTATTTTTCTTGACACCAACACCCATAGGGGTAGCTGCAGTCCTTTTTGACACTGTCAACACTATCTTCACGCCAGAACAAAGAATAAGCAAAATAACACAGTGAGCAATGCACATAGGCCTGGGCCCCATTTGGGGCATTGTGGGGAACCTCCCATTGGTGCATCTGGCCTACACATGTGCCATTTTATTACCCTTTGTGGGTGTGCTTAGGTGGGGGAATCTGGGTGTGTGCAGAAAAGGTATATTGCAGCTGAAGAGGGCTGGGAGGGTCTTCTATCCCTTGGGATGCAATTAAGCTGTGTGTTGTGTACCTGCATTTTGACTGCAACCCATCCCATGATGCCAGGTATAGATTTTCCATTTGTGGCATCAGGTTGATGCTCAAAATTTCTAATTTTTGGAGCATTTCAAATTTCTGATTTTCAGATTAGGGATGCTTAATCTGTACCACAATTTACTTATCTATTGTCCTGTGGACTGGTATTGGGTGGTTTCCAGTTTAGTTATTATGAATAGTCTTGTACAAAAAACATTTTTTAAACATACTTTCCCCTCCTCTTGGTAAATATCTAAGAATGGAATTGCTGGGTCCTAGGGTAGGTGTATAATTTACTTTATGAGAAACTGCCAGATAGATATGAAAAGTGCTTTTATCCATTTTATACTCCCATTAGCAGTGTATAAAAATTCCAGCTGCTCCACATTCTTGCCAACATTGGGTATTGCCTTTTAAGTTTTTTCCATTCAACCGAAATTATAGTACAGTGGTATCTTATCATGTTTTTAATTTATATTTGCCTGATGCCTAATGATATTGAGCACTTTTCCATTGCTTATTATTTGTATATCTTGCTTTGTGAAAATGGTCCTTCAAAAATATTTTGCCCATTTAAAAAATTGGGTTCTATATCTTTGAGTTGGAAATGTTGGTTATATACTCTGGATACCGGTTCCATGCATGTGTATGTTCTGCATATATTTTTTTCTCTTAGTCTGTGGCTTACCTACTCTTTTTAAAATAGCACCATTTGATAAGTGGAAATATTTTGATTTTGGTGAAATCTATTTTCTCAATTTCTTTCTTTTATGGTTAGTGATTTCAGAATCTTGATCAAAATTTTCTCCTAAGTTTGCTTCAAGAAGTTTTATAGTTTTAGCTTTTATTAATACATTTAGATCTATGACATATTTTGAATTAAGTTTTGTGTATGGTGTGAGGTATGGGTCAAGATTCACTTTTATTCACAAATACAGCCAGTAGTTCCAGCACCAACTTTTGAAAAGCACTTTCTTTACTCACTGAATGCTTTGGTGCCTTAATTGAAGATGAATTAACGGCGTAAACATATATTTGGGTGGATTATTTCTGTTCCAATTTATCTATTTGCTTATTGCTATACCAATAACACAGTGTCTTGATTAATGTGGCTTCATGGTAAGTCTGGAAATCAGGTAATGTAAGTCCTTCAACACTGTTCTTTATATGGATTGTTTTGGTTTTCTCCTTTGCAATCTTATAAAAACTTTAGAATCATATTTTCAATTACATAAAAACCTGCTAGGATTTTCACTGGGATTGAGTTTAAATATCAAATTGAGGAGGACATACACCTTGATAATATTAAGTCTTCAAATCCATGAACATGATATAATCCCTTCATCTATTTAGGTTTTCCATCTCTTTCAGGGTAGAGGGCTTCCACATAGGTTGTTAAGTTTATAGCTGTGTATATTTTTAAATGCTATTTTAAGCAGAATCTTTAAGCTTCTTAAAAGTTTTGTATTTTCAAATGGTTTGTTGCTAGTATATGGAAATACAGTTAGTTTTTGTACATATCTTACACTCTGTAACCTTGCTAAAGTTACGTATCAGTTTCTCTTTTGAAGATTCCTTAGAATTTTTACATAAATAATGCCACCTGCAAATAAAAACAATTTTACTTATTTTCTTCATCTTAACACACTAGACCTCCAGTAAAACGTTAGAAAGAAGTGGTTAGAATGGACATCTTGTCCTATTCTTGACTTTACAGGAAAATGGTCCTTCTTTTACTATTAAGTATGTTGTTTGCAGTAAGATTTTTTATATGCCTTTATCATAAGGTTGAGGAAGTTTCTCGTTATCCCTGTTTGTTGAACATTTCTATTAAAATTGGGTGTTTATGAAAAAAATATTCTTGGTCAGATAGTGGAAGGTGGAAAAAAAAAACTGGATGTTGAATACTGATAATGTGGTAAATTACACCACAAAGTAACCTTGTATTTCTAAAATAAATCCCATTTGGTCATGAGTATTATCCTTCTTATACACTGCCAGATTCTATCTCATGTTTTTTGTTTGTTTGTTTTTGAGATGGAGTCTGGCTCTGTTGTCCAGGCTAGAGTACAGTGGTGGGATCTCTGCTCACTGCAATCTCTGCCTCTGAGGGTTCAAGCAATTCTCCTGCCTCAGCCTCCCAAGAAGCTGGGACTACAAGCGCCCGCCACCACGCCCTGCTAATTTTTGGTATTTTTAGTGGAGACGGGATTTCATCGTGTTAGCCAGGATGGTCTTGATCTCCTGATCTTGTGATCCGCCTGCCTCGGCCTCCCAAAGTGCTGAGATTACAGGCATGAGCCACCGTGCCTGGCCTCATGTTACTTTCTTAGGAGTTTTTGCATCTACTTTTAGGAGGAGTATCAGTCAGAATTTTCATTTCTTTTAACGCCATGTCAAATTTGAGTATCTGGAATATGCTAGTCTAATAAAATGTTGGGAAGCAATTTCCTTTCTTCTATTTTCTGAAACTGTGTAAAACTGGCATTATTTCGGCCAGGCACAGTGGCTAACGCCTGTAATCCCAGCACTTCGGGAGGGTGAGGCGGACGGATCATGAGGTCAGGAGATCGAGGCTATCCTGGCTAACACAGTGAAACCCCGTCTCTACTAAAAGTACAAAAAATTAGCTGGGCTTGGTGGTGGGCGCCTGTAGTCCCAGCTACTCGGGAGGCTGAGGCAGGAGAATGGCGTGAACCCAGGAGGCAGAGCTTGCAGCGAGCGGAGATAGTGCCACTGCACTCCAGCCTGGGAAACAGGGCAAGACTCCATCTCACACACACACACACAAAAAGATTGGCATTATTTCTTAAATGTTTGCTAGAATTCACAAGTGAAGACATCTGGGCCTAGAATATATAAAAGACTATTTGGATTTTTATATTTTTTTCTGTGAGTTTTGCTAAGTTGTGATTAAATATGTTCACTTCATCTAGGTTGCTGAATTTGTTGACATAAAGTTTGATCATAACATTCCTTAACTATCCTTTTACTATATGTAGGAACTGTAAGATATCTCCTTTCATTCCCAATATTGGCAATTTATGTCTGTCTTCCTCACTTTTATTTAACTTTCTTGATTAGTTTAGGTAGGATTTACTGACTTTATTAATCTTTTCAAAGAACCAACTTTTGATGTCATTAATTTTTCTCCATTGTTTGTTCATTTTCTGTAAATTTCTGCTTCTTTTTATTTCCCTCATTCTGCTTGAGTTTAATTTGCTCTTCTTTTTTTATCTTCTTAAGGCAGAAGCTTAAGTAGTTTATTTTACATCTTCTTCTTGTTTAGCATAAATATCTAGAACCTTAAATTTCCTTTTAAGCCCTGCTTTTGTCATATCCTACCGACCATGGATCCTTTTTTTTTTTCTTTCCTGAGGGGAAAAAAAGCAATCCTCCCGTCCTGGCCTCCCAAAGTGTTGGGATAACAGGCTACCACGCTCAGCCCCAATTATGATGTATTGTATTTTAATTATCATTCAGATCAAAATATTTTCTAATTTTTCTTTTAATTTCTTCTTTCATCATAGGTTATTTAGAAGTGTGCTATTCAGTTTCAAAACATATGGGGATTCCCCAGATCTTTGTTACTATTTCTAATTTAATTTTATGAATAGGCTTATAGCATTATTCAAATCTTCTTTATCCTTATTGAATTTTTGTCCTCTTGTGTTATTCCTCAGAGAAAAGTGTTGAAATTTCTAGCTATAATTCTGATAATTTTTGTTTCATGTATTTTAGGCTCCTTATGAGGTACCATATATTTAGGATTTTTATGTCTTCTTGAACTGAACTCTTTTATCTGTATAAAACATCTCTTTATCTCTGGTAATATTACTCCTTGTTCTGAAGACTACTTTGTCTAATAATAGTAAAGCCACTTCAGCCTTATTATAATTAGCATACCTAGAAGTTTTTATGCACATAATGAAGAGGGTAGTTAAATCTCATTAACAAAACATAAATGGTGATTAAAATCCATTGCTCATTAACTTATGTGAAATAGTCTCTGATTAAGAATATATGTGTATGTAATGATTATTTCATGCACTGACCTCATCAATAAAAGGGATTAACACCACAGCTTCCCATTCCTGTTGTTTCCCATTTAGGTCAGTTTTAAAATCAGGTGGGTAATATTCTATAATTGGTGAATCTTCACTGGTCATCAAATGCTGTGAAAATATAAAATAGCATAATAGAAATATAAGAACCAATATCAATATAGCTTTTTGTCAATGTATTTATAATATTTCCTCATGTTAGTTTAAAATTTATAAGCAAACTAAATTTTTGTATCTTAGATATGTCACGATATACTTGCTATATTTTGATTTTCAACTATAAGAATTCTGATTTCACTGCTACTCCTCATTTACATATTTTACTAACCTAGTTATGTAGCAAAGTCATCCTTACTCTCAACATTCATTTTAAATTAGTTTTTCTTGTTTTTTTCACTCTACAAGACACACAGCTAAATTGTTTTTCTATTCAGACTTCATTCAGTTCACCTAAAAGGCATCTAGTAGTCCTCTATTTTTAGCCTCAAATTGACAATTCACTTTCATGTCATGAAGAACTGATTCTATTAAGTAATGTAACATCCAAGATAGTTTACAAGAAAAATATCCTAAAATCCAAGAACCACTGCACCACTAATATCAAAGAGAAATAGTTCAATAACACATTTCTATGACTTTATAATGGAGGTAGACAAAGAAAGCATAAGGAAATAAAGCAGTATACTCTCAGGGTAATACTCAAAATATTTAAAATAACCAGTATGGCATGGGCACTGTACAATAAAACAGACTGTAAAACACTTGCATGGTCATGCTGGTCCAGAGTGGTTGAGTATTAAAGCATATTGTATCCAAAGGCAGGAAAAAAAGAATCAAAGAAACTTATGAAGAAAGGGAAGCCAGGACCAAGAATGGGTTAAGGTTCAGAAAGATGCAGAAGGGAGTCTGACACTGCTAAAGAAGTAAAAGGTGTGTGTGTGTCTACTCCAATTCCTGACCAAACCATGGAATTAAAAGAACAGATTGTTACCCTCGAAGAATGATACAAAGTATAACTTCAGAATCACCTTAGTAGGCTTAGCATAATTTTGGTAACCTTATCACTCCTGAAATATTTTCCTCCTGTTACATGAAATATGTTAACCAAAGAAAGCTTTTTATTTCACAATTTGATAAATAAAATGTTTAAAAACAAACATATACTGAGGTAGTACAGCTGTTGGGATAAACGACTTATTAGAACCATCCCTGTACCAAAAGGTAGAGAATAAAAGGAAGAGAAATGAATCTATAAATGTTAGACAAAGTAGATAGCTTCAGATTTTGTCTGTTTTAGTCTACTTTCTTCAGTGTAGAGACAAATTGAAAATCTGTTAAAAGGTGCTGAAAATGAAGCCAGGCTCTGAATGGTTTACAGAGTTTCTTTGCATCTTCAAAACAAAGCTAACTTTAAATCAAGGAATTACTTTTCAAGGGACTTGTTAAACAAATACTATAGTTTAAAAGTGAAAATAACTATTTAGCCACCAAATAAATTTGAGTATTATTGTTTGTCCTAAATATCAAAAAGGACATAAAAACATTTAATTCTAAAGCCCACCTGGTAGCATGTAGGAAGTAAATTTTTGCTGGCTGCTGGAAGTACAGCAAGAAGCTGTTCAAACGGCTTAAAAGGTTTTCCTAGTTCAAAATGGATTCTGAGTGTACTGATGTTGCGTATATCAGATAGGAAAGGTGCATAATGATAAGGATAATACCTATAAAACAAAACTGAGTTTTAAACAACTGGCATCTTTATGAATTAGGTTAATAAGCATATGCTTTTCCCCATATTTTAAACACCATATAAAAATGATTTTGAAAAATTAGTACTGCCCATAATTCTACCATTTGAATATAAGAAATTAGCACTGTTGGAAAACTTAGGTCATTTGATGGCAACAATGTTACATTTCCTGAATTTTTTTTTTGGATGGAGTCTCACTCTGTCGCCCAGGCTGGAACACAGTGGCGCAATCCTGGCTCACTGCAAGCTCCGCCTCCCAGGTTCACGCCATTCTCTTGCCTCAGCCTCCCAAGTAGCTGGGACTACAGGCGCCTGCCACCACCCTGGGCTAATGTTTTATATTTTTAGTAGAGACAGGGTTTCACCTTGTTAGCCAGGATGGTCTCGATCTCCTGACCTCGTGATCCGCCCGCCTCAGCCTCCCAAAGTGCTGGGATTACAGGCGGATTACCGGCCTATTCCCTGAATTTTTAAAGTGTGGTTTCACATTTCTGAAATTGGGATGAATGATGAATCAGATAATTGAAAAACATGTATAATGTAAGGCTTTTTTGCTTTTTTTAATTCTCAAAATGTTGATTGTGAATCTTCCAATCAATAGATTGAACCAGAAATAATGAGGTAGTCAGAAGACTTTCAGTTTGGTCACTTGAGCCTGGATCATTTAAGCAAGAGGCTGGAAACAGTTGAATGTTCTGGTAAAAGCTCACAAGGAGAGGAAGAAAAGTGAGTCTGAGCTTATCTGGCCATTACCAGTCAGATCTAAGAACTTTTATCTTTGAATTAGCATGCTTATTATTGTATTTGTGATAAGGATGAAACCGTGTATCGATCACATACACTAATTGTTTTTATTACCTTCTTATCTTAATTACAGGTATAAATATTTTATAAAGCTTTGAACAAACAATTTTTAAAAATTTCAATATGCTCGTCATGTTTGACTCAGGATACCAAAAAAATTGAAATATTTTTGTATTCCATAATTATGGCATACATTTCAAAAAAAAATGGGGAAGTTTAGGAGGCCAAATGCCATGTGGAATAGAAAATGGATAGACTTTGGAATCAGACAGGCTTTGACTTGATTCTTGGGTTTATAATCTTTAGGAAGATTACCTAACCTTTCTTTCTTTTTTTTTTTTTTTTTTTGAGACAGAGTCTCGCTCTGTAGCCCGGGCTGGAGTGCAGTGGCCGGATCTCAGCTCACTGCAAGCTCCGCCTCCCAGGTTTACGCCATTCTCCTGCCTCAGCCTCCCGAGTAGCTGGGACTACAGGCGCCCGCCACCTCGCCCGGCTAGTTTTTTGTATTTTTTAGTAGAGACGGGGTTTCACGGTGTTCGCCAGGATGGTACCTAGCCTTTCTTAACCTTTCAGAGCCTCAATTTCTTCATCTGTAAAAGGGAGAAAACAATGTTTACTTTAAATAGTTGTGAAGATTATGTGAGAGCATGCTTTTTATGTGCTTGGCCTTAATGTAAGTTACAATAGGAATAACTTACATTCACACTATTTTAAAAATGGCAAATAAAGGATTTTCTTCATGAGATGCTCCTCAGGGAGGCCCTAAGAATCAGGTGATTATAAAACTTTTTTCAAAGGCTTTATTAAGTAAAACCATAATTAATGTCACGTTATTTTGCATTGGTTTGTACTGCTAGATGGCTCTGAAACAAAGCCTAGCACAGGTGCTTTGAACAAAACCAAACCAAATGGAGCTGTGTTATCACCTAAAAGTCTCTAGTATTCACTGTATCATTGTTTGGTTTTTTATTTTTCTACTTTGGTGGATGGTCTGAGAATGCAGATGAGATTTGCTAGAATAGGAAACAGAGAAATAAAACTATTACTATTTCCAGTAAAAGCAAATAATTGGGAGGCTGAGGCACGATAATTGCTTGTACCCGGGAAGGGGAGGTTGCAGCAGTGAGCCAAGACTGAACCACTGCACCGTAGCCTCGGTGACAGAACAAGAAAGAAAGAAAATAACTCCTTTCTCTTTTCTTCTTCACTTTCTAGCCTGTCATACAAGTAAGCCCATTCTTCAGTGATTATTCTTTTTTTTTTTTTTTTTAAGAGACAGAGTCTTGTTCTGTTGCCCAGGCTGGAGTGTAGCAGTGAGACCTCAGTTCAGCTCACTGCAGCCTCCACCTCCCAAGTTCAAGCAATTCTCCTGCCTCAGCCTCCCAAGTAGCTGGGACTACAGAGGCACACCACCATGCCCAGCTAATTTTTGTATTTTTAGTAGAGATGGGGTTTCACCATGTTGGCCAGGCTAGTCTCAAACTCTCGAACTCAAGTGATCTGTCCACCTTGGCCTCCCAAAGTGCTGGGATTAGAGGCGTGAGCCACTGCACCTGAACACTTCAGTAATTATTCTTGATAGAGAATTCTTTAGCAAACACAAAAAATGTAAAGAGAATATAATGAACACCCTCACATAACCATCATTCAAACCCAATAATTATCAAGACTTTGTTAAATTTGACTAACCTTGATAGAGAACATTAAATCTTTACATTAACCAAGACCTCTTATTGTGAGCCTTCTGCTAGGGCTGGAGAAGACATTACCTATATTTCACTTAAACCTGGTTGTATGGAACTTTTAAAAAATTACCATAAGTAGAGGCCAGGCACAGCAACTCAGGCCTGTAATCCTAGCACTTTGGGAGGCCGAGGTGGGTGGATCACCTGAGGTCAGGAGTTCAAGACTAGCCTGCCCAACAAGGAGAAACACCATCTCTAATAAAAATATAAAAATTAGCCAGTTGTGGTGGTGCATGCCTGTAATCCAAGCTACTCAGGGGGCTGAGGCAGAAGAATTGCTTGAACCCAGGAGGCGGAGACTGCAATGAGCTAAGATCATGCCACTGCATTCCAGCCTGGGCAACAGAGTGAGACTCTGTCTCAAAAAAATAAAAAAACAATTACCATAAGTAGAAATAAAAGGAAGTGCTCCCTAAATAAGACTCTAGTAGAATGAATCATTATAAAAAGACAAAACTTTATTTTTGTTTTTATTCTCTCACCAGCTCCAGGACTGAACTCCATGATAGTAATAGTGCAAAATCCACTGTATTGCCTGAACATAACATGCAGCTTGATCAGCCAGAAAGTCACTGAAAATAGAATATTTTCATTATAACATATTTTTTGAAGATATGCCAGTGTCTTTAGAGCATGATATCTGCTGATACAACATTTTACCTCAGATGATTTATGTAATCAATGAATTAGCTATTTATAGCTAAAAATTATAATCCTAAAAACTCCAAAATATTTTTTAAAATTCCATCTTGTTATATTATAGTTTTCCTAAACCAACTTAGATAAACCTGTTATTCATATTTACTCAGTTAATGTACCACTCCTTTGGTCTGAAGATTTACCCAATGAAGCTTTGAATGTACCACAACTTTGGTTTGAAGATTTACCCAATGAAGCTTTGAATGTACCACAACTTTGGTTTGAAGATTTACCCAATGAAGCTTTCCATAGTGACACTACCACTCTCTTAAATAGTGGGGGTGAGACGGGAGAAAGGGATGGGAATCTTCTTTATATGGGATGATATCTCAGAGAAGCAAAGGAGAAAATCAGGAAGATCTTAAAATTTGGTTACAGAAGCTAGAACACATTCAGAAGTGCTGTATGTGAACAATATTCCCTCTAATCCTTTCTTTGTCAAAAACCAAACGCCATCTTCTAAGTTTGGGTAAAATAAGTCTTCAAATCATCAAAACAAAACAAAACAGAGCCCTGGGCTAAAGGCAAAAGGATTCACTTAAAAATTCCATAACTACGTATTTCTGGGACGTATGTTTTTTATCATGAAAAATAATTGCTTTTTTATTATAAAAGAACTATTTCCTCATGAGTGAAAATCTGGATAATGAAGAACAGCATTTTTATCATCTTATAACCATCACTTTTACATTTTGTAGTGTTTCGGTCTTTTTTCTGTATCTAGGTTTTTTTAAGTGTTAATGAGAGCATACTGTATGTACGATTTCATGTCTTTCCTTTACAATTTGTACTTAATAATGTACTATAAGCATCCTTCCAAATTGCTATGAACTTTCTGCAAGTACCAGTTTAGCAGTTCTGCAGATTCTGGAGATGGAAGAGGTGACAGAGATGGTGACTGTAATGAAGAAGCAGTGGCCAATTATGATGAACCTTCTTACTGGACATTTAGATTATTTCTAATTTTTTACTATTATAAACAACTTTGTAACAAAAATCCTTATATATAAGGATCATTTTCTCTTCAGCAATTTTTATCACAGTAATATAATACAAGTCAGAATTAATACCATCTTCTTCAAAACCAGATTAGTTGAAACATATACAATAATTAATGAAACCAAAAAATCCTTTTTCTCCCACTACTTTATCAAAATTACGTTGTTTTCTGAATAACTGTAAAATCTGATTTTTTCTATTTTAAAATAAAAGCATTGGCAAAAACGTACTCAGATACTATGTCAACCCCCATCTTCGTCATGTAATATGTTCTTTTATATTGTCTAAACTCAGTTTCAAATAGGTCATCATCTTCAGTCTCATCTTCTAAATTATCTGGGAAAAAAGAAAGATAGTGACTGACAATTATGAATAGCCTGTTTTTCCACCTAATGATTTGATAAATGCATATCCAAGTTGATGCTTATAAGCTATCACAGAAATCTGTTCCACCCAAAATTCGTAATAATAAAGAAAAGGTACAACTATCCTGTCAAAGTAGTAACATATCAAAACACATACTTCGTACTTACCCTTAGAAGTTACCATTTCGCCTTCATTTTTGTCTAAAGCAGCCCAACACAGAGAATTTTCCTGGCCCTATAAATTGTAAATCAACATAAAATGAATGGTAAGATACATTTCAAAATAAGATGTTATTTCTCTTCCATGCACCCATTTGCTTTTCTATAGTTCTTCCATGTTATAACATCCTTCATATCCTGCCCACCTGTTTTTCCTCCCTTGTGATCTCAATCCTTTCTCTCCTCTATTCTCTGATTTCCTATCTACTGCCAATGACTCTCTTTAGTTCTTCCTACTCCCTTATCCCCATTTCCTTTCTTTCATCCAACTTATGGCCTCTACAAACTTCCTGTGTCTGGGCTATTCCTGTACAGTGTCTCTAAAGTTAACTGCATATGGCTGGAAGACTGGTGAAGTTTAAGGACCAAATTGTGGTGGGGAAACCAGGGATTACTGACAGGTAAGTTTTGTGTGTACAGGTTCCCAAAAAGTTGCAGAACGTGTTTTCTTAGGGGAGAAAGAAAAAAAAAAAAACAACACACACAAAAACCAGTGGAATGCAGACTGACTGCTGCCAAGTTTCAGTGAGGAGGAGCTAAGTAGGGAGAAGGACTACACTACAGAAAACAAGGTCAGTTGCCCCTCCTGGAGCAAGAGTCGTTAGGTTTGAACCTAAATAGAACCAGTACAGCGAGGACAGTAAGAAACTCAACAGCATCGTGGCCGGGCGCGGTGGCTCACACCTGTAATCCCAGCACTTAAGAGAGGCCGAGGTGGGCGGACCACAAGGTCAGGAGTTCGAGACCAGCATTACTAACATAGTGAAAACCCGTCTCTACTAAAAAAATATAAAAATTAGCTGGGTGGTGGTGCACACCTCTAATCCCAACTACTCAGGAGGCTGAGGCAGGAGAATCGCTTGAACTCAGGAGGTGGAGGTTGCAGTGAGCCAAGATTGTGCCATTGCACACCAGCCTGGGTGACAGAGCGACACACTATCTCCAAAAAAACAAACAAACAAACAAACAACAACAGAATCCAATAATTATGGAGAGGCTAAGGAATTTTCACAAGAGGTTTACTTTTCAAGTTAACACAAGACACTCTTTGGAGATTATCAGAGATGTTTTGCAGGGCACTATCATATTCTAATTGATTCTATTATTCATTTATTAAGCACATAACATTTACTAGATACTGTGCTACTAAGTTTGCACAAAAGTAATTGTGGTTTTTGCCATTACTGTTAGACTATTGTATTTTATATGTAAATCATTTCTAGAGAAAAATCACTGATCTAGTTAATATCTCATATCATTAAATGCTATAAATATCCACATTTTAAAAACTAGTCCATTGTTTTAAAATAACAATTTTTTTTTTAATTAAAAAAAATTGCCAGGGGAAAGCATGAATGCAGTCCTCCACTACCATAAGTCATGCAGTTGAGTTTCCCACATTTGGCGAAATCGCAGGGCATCAGCACATCCAGAGTGCAATGGATAAATCTCGCCCTGGGAAAACCACCCTCATGATCATGGTATCCTCCCTGTCAGGTTTTAAATAATTGTTTTTCTTTTTTTTTGAAACAGAGTCTCACCCTATCAGCCAGGCTGGAGTGCAGTGGCCTGATCTTGGCTCACTGCAACCTCTGTCTCCCAGGTGCAAGCGATTCTTGTGCCTCAGCCTCCCAAGTAGCTGGGACTACAGGTGCCCGCCACCACACCCAGCTAATTTTTGTTTTTTTAGTAGAGATGGGGTTTCGCCATGTTGGTCAGGCTGGTCTCAAACTCCTGACTTCAGGTAATTCACCCACCTCTGCCTCCCGAAGTGCTGGGATTACAGGTGTGAGCCACTGTACCTGGCCTTAAATAACTATTTTTAATAACATGTTTTAAATCATTTTTTAAAAAAGATAAATAATTTTCTGGGCTTTCATGTTTAGAAATGTTTTCCACATTTATTAACATAAAACACAATGTACCTCTTCAACAGTAAAAATAAGAAACTGATTATTGAAGACCTGGTTAAGTGATAGAAGCTAATAGAAAAAAAGAAACCAATTTCTGAAATGCCTATAGAGAGGAAGAAACAGAAATAAAACGAGGCAATCCCAAATCATAAGAAGAAAAATGAGAAACAAAGAATATAATTTTTGCCGTTACAGTTAAAATAATGAAAGGACACCTAAAAAAATAGACACCTTTAATTTTTTCTTTTCCTTGTAGTTCCTGGCTTCTTCTGCTGCTACACCTGCTGCTTCATTGAGGTACTTGTTACCAACTTTGCTTTCAAACCATTTTAGGTCCACAAAAACTTCACTGAAGTGCTCCCGATCAAACTGTACAAAAATATTTAAATTTATTTTAAAATAATTTAAGTATATCTAGAAAAATACAAATCAAACTTATAACAGTGACTACTACTGGGGTATAGGAAATTGGAGAATGTTACTCTTTTGTAAATGTGGGAAACCTCATGTGTGACTCTAAAAATACAAATAGAAAGCAAATAAAAATAAAATTAATTTAGGTAAAAGTGTCTATACTGAATGAGCAACTGGAATAGAATTATAAAACCCCTTTCTTATGTTATTACGGAATTGGTGACTGACCACTGATAGCTACTCTGCGAAAGGAAAACAAAAATTTCTAGTTACTTACATCTGATAGTTTCACAAGGTATTTCTCAAATCGAGGTAAGTTGAGATGCCCACTTTCATTTATATAACCTAAAAGAAACAAAAATTTAAATCTGTACTAAAAGTTGACATTTTTTCTAAACAATTCCACAAAATTCTTTCTACAAAATGTTGAATGTTCACGTTCTACAGCACTAATCAAGAAAAAACAGTGTTGGACTATATACAAACTGGCCCTAGTTTCTATGAATTTTATGCTACTATAATATGCAACATGTAAGTATTGAAGCCAAATATAAGAAATTCCAGGTTCCACAGAATAATCATCCAACATTTGGTAACAATTAATTAAATATGTTCTATAATATATCTAGATCATTCAATTTGATATGTTAACTTAAGGACTGATGTCCTGCTACCCTGTGGTCTGTTTTATTCAGTATCACTATGCTTGTCAATTTTCTGTTTTCACTGAAAAATCACTGCTTCATATTAAACACTCAGATGCATATCTATTCAAAAAAATTGAATTTCTATGCTTAAATATGAAAAAGGTAAAACCAATAAATTACGCTGGCTTTCTTAAGAAATTAAAGGCAAAGACTAGGCCGGGTGTGGTGGCTCATGCCTGTAATCCCAGCACTTCGGGAAGCCAAGGCAGGTGATCACTTGAGGGCAGAAGTTTGAGACCAGCCTGGTCAATATGGTAAAACCCCATCTCCACTAAAAATACAGAACTTAGCCGGGCATGGTGACACATGCCTGTAATCCCAGCTACTCAGGAGACTGAGGCACAGGCATAGCTTGAACCCACAAGGCAGAGACTGCACTCCAGTCTGGGCAATAGAGCAAGACCCCGTCCCAAAAATAAATAAATAATAAAAAATAAAGACAAAGATCAGTTAGCTATCAATAAGTGAGGTTCATTAACTCTGTTCACTTTCTTTCCCCGTGAATCACTGAAAATGACAACCTCAGAGGTTAGCACCTTAGACCAAAATAATTTCTCAATGTTTTTCTATTTTAGCTGTGCATGCAATAATCTACTAAACTAAGTCACATTTTTAGGGTGAGATGGTACTAAATTAAAGTATCCTCGAGAGATCATTAAATTCTTCTTACCCCCAAGTTCTGGCAGGATGGTAATATACGTTCCATAAAGAAGAGGCAGTGCATCATGATTAATATGTAAATGAGGTAGATGAGGGATAAAATCATTACCAACAAGAAACCCCATCAAAATCCAATCATCTATTATCCTTTCAATATCATATTTAAATGTGATCTTTTCCTACAGTAAAATGGAGAACAAAGTCAAATGCAATGAAAATTGCTGCAACGGAAATCCTTGGTCCATGGCTTTATTAATACTTACTTTTAATACTGAAAACTCATAATCAATATACTCTCTCATTAAAGACAAGTGTAGAAGGTGAAATGTAGTTTCTTCTGGAGCACATACCCTGGAATTAGTCAGATGACCAAGATACAGTGAATTGTATTTTTAAGGTCCCAGCTTAAAAACGTAACAAAGCTTAAATCAAAATTATCATCAGAAGATAGGCCTTGTAATTAAGGCATACAATTTATATGAAAGATGAAGGGTAACAAAGCAAAAAATACAACTGCAATGATAATAGATAACACATGTTAAAGTTCAAAACAATTGGTTTACATTATGTATTCTGTGGAAGGATTCTCAGAATTAAGAAGTCCTAAATAACATATAGTAGATATAAGAAACCGCTGAGATCTAGTCCATTTAAGGCTGGTCTTTTCAACAAATGGCGCAAGGCAGATTGGATATCCACATGCAAAAGAATGAAGTTGGGCTCTTACCTTACACCACACACTAAAATTAACTCAAAATGAATCAAAGATCTAACCATAAAAGTTAAAACTTGAAAACTCTTAAAAAAAAGAAAAACAGATGAGTTGGATTGTAACAAAAATTAAAAACTTTTGTGCATCAAAGGACACTATCAATGTAGTGAAAAGGCAACCTACAGAATGAGAGAAAGTATTTACAAATCATATATCTGTTAAAGAATTACTATCCAGGCATAATTTCTTTCTTCCAACATACATGCTATATCATTTACCGTTGTGTTTTCTTGCCACCAAATCGAACTTCTTCTCTTAAGAGAGAAAAATGTGCCTCATGACTTGTTAATCCAAGCATAATCTGTTGAAAAATGATTAAGAAACGTTTTTGTTCTCCTATTTTTAATAATATTAGGTTCACAAAAGCAATTAAAAAACAATTCTACACAAGGAAGAATAAGAAACAATTAGCACATTAAATAAACAAATAACAAAACATGATCTATTTGTAGCTTATGAATGGGATAAAGTGTACTTTTCTAAGAAAAATATGTTCACCTTAGCTCACATGCTTTTCATAACCATTACCCTATCCCCTATCCCCTCTCCTCTTCCTATTCCTCCAAATCCCAAAAGTCTCCTCTTGGTTTCACATATTTCTACTTGCCGTGGGGGAACTGGTTAGAAATTAGAGGTAGCAGCTTTTCTATGACCAAAGAATGCAGGACTCTTTTGGAGACCAGGATAGCCCAGGTATATGAAAAGTCAGAGGAAAAACAAAAAAAATTGAAAAGGGCACTTTCAGTTAATTTTCTCACATAGTATTCTTTTTTTTTTTTTTTTTTTTTGACGGACTCCAGGCTGGAGCAGTGGCGCGATCTTGGCTCACTGTAACCTCCACCTCCCAGGTTCAAGCAATTCTCCCTGCCTCAGCCTCCAGAGTAGCTGGGATTACAGGTACCTGCCACTATGCCCGGCTAATTTTTGTATTTTTTAGTAGAGATGCGGTTTAGCCATGTTGGCCAGGCTGGTCTTGAACTCCTGACCTTAGATGATCTGGCCACCTCGACCTCCCAAAGAGCTGGGATTACAGGCATGAGCCACCATGCCCGGCCTCTCACACAGTATTCTATTACCAAGTAGTCAACAGTCTGTTGAGACATACCAATCAAATGCTATGTACTTGCATACTGTTTATTTCATGTGATTCAAACAAGAACAAAATGAAACATTTATGAGGCAATCAGGGAAATGATAATACTAACTGGTTATTTCTAGATAAAGAACGGGTTGTTAATTTCTGTTTTACGTGGGATGATGGCATTGTGGTTATGTATTTTTTTCTTAAAAAAAAAACAAAAACAAAACCCTAATCCTTTAAAGAAACATTATGAAACATATATAAATTAAATGATAAAATGTTTAGGATTTGCTTTAATAATCGGGCGGGGAGCGGGTAGGAGAGAGAAGAGACAGATGATTAGGGGTAGAAATTTAAAATTATTTAAGTCAGATGAAGGGCATAGGATGTTCATTACATTACCTTTTCTATTTTTGTTTATGCTTGAAAATTTCCATAATAAATAAAAGTCTAGTAAAGGTACTTGGAACATGGAGTTTTCAGATCAGGAGGTATCAAAAACCATGTATTAAGCCTGAGGGTGAAAAGGCAGCCCCACTTCTCTGACCTCGACAAAGTATTCACGGCAAAATATTCACAGCACTAGGATTAGTCACATCTGTAGACTAATTAGAGAGACCTGTTGGTCATAAACTATGGCTAAAAAGCTCATTTTCCAATGATTTTTAGAACTTTGGTAATGATAGAAGTAGCAATTATTATGATGTCTCCAATATTTGTTGCCACAGCCAGTAAGCTTCCTGTACAAAATGAAATCTCTTAGATATTTAACTATCTATGCGTAAGTTTATAATAATAAAAATTATACCTACCAAGTCGGCATCTAAACCATAAAGACAGTGTCTGGTGTTTGGATCATGATCTGGCTTTGCTTTCTCGGATCTGATAAATTCCATGATTTTATGCTCTCCTTCTCCAGGAGTCTAAATAAAATGTTTTTAAAAATGCAGTAATATGGTACGCTTGAGAATATTAAATAATTTTTTAAAACTCTTTAAATAAAAAGATAATAACCTCATGGCCTGAGAAGTAGATGGTAACTCCTTGCCATGACTTGTCTGTGGAAATTTTCATATTTACAAAATACTTCAGATGTTCATGTAACCTGGCCATAAATTCAGTTCCTAAAAATAATAAGTTTTAAAAAGGTTAATCTAAGAAAGACATAAAAACATTTAAGTTCTCAGTGACAACACATAACTGAATCTGAGCATGCAGGGAATAGCTAGGTAGGTATGGGATCTCCAAAGAAGGTCAAAAGCTCTCTTGCTTATCCTGAAAAACAAGTAATGTACCTTTTCCTTGCAAATATCACAACTGTTTCTAATGTCACTAGTCCCCCTAAATAAAATCAGTGTCACATAGGGAAAGTCAAGGAATTTTACTAGTGACTCAGCACTGTGCTTCAGGAATTTTCATATAAGGGCTGAGTTTGAACTCTCTAATGAACCTCAACCTTCTATTTCTTCTGCTGAATTCTGAAGTTTTTTTTTTTTTTTAAGGCTTGCAGCTTAAATCAGATTGTCAATAATAATAATAATATTACTACTGAAATTATTACTCTGAAAAATTATTACTAATTTGGAACCTGAGTCTACAATGATTACATTTTGGGAAAGGTCAATAGTCAAAAGCAATACAGTCTAAAACCACAATCAGGATAAAACCGTTGTTAAACTGAGCAATGTGTGACCAATGCACTTAAAGAAAGAGCAAATTACCACTGTTAGTAAAGAACTAATAAGAAAGTTAGATTTTAAGATTTTCATTCGAAGTAAAGAATTATAATGACGTTAGACAAAGGTTGTAGAAGTATAGAGTATGCTGCTGCATACAAAATTAAACATAATACTGATAAATTCATTTTCCTTAAAGTCATAAAAATCTTAATCAATTTTGAGAAGCAGAGTAGTGAGTGCACTGGACTCGGAGAATCAGTTCCTTACTCTCACTACCACAATATAGCTACATCAACTTGATAAGCTACAACCTCACTGAGTCTGTTTTAACACAAATAAATGGCAGGATTAGGACAGAAAGATATACAAACATAAGTTTCTTCAAGGTCTGCAATTCTGTACACCTGGGAGATTCCTGTCCATATGTGCTCTAATTTATCTACATTTGAAAATCTCTACAGTTTTTGTAGGAGTATTTATGACCAAGGTGACCAAACCATCTCATGAGCAAACGTAAGTGGGAGAATACAGTAAATGGTACCCTAAGGCCAAAATAAATAGAGCACAGAAAGTAAAATTCATTTAAAAACCAAGTTTTCAATTTATATTTCAATTCTGTCACAATTTTTCTCCCAGCGAATTTACCTGGTGTGATACAGTTGGAATCAAATCTGGCCTCTGTAGGAAGAGTTTCTCCCTTCTCTATTGCCTTTTTAATTTTGTCTTCTGCCTCCTTTGCTGACCTTAAAGGTTAAGGGAAAAAAGTACCTTAAGTTTTCTGAAAAAAAGTGAAGATCTTTATATAAACTGCTATGTAGGTGCCTTTATAACTAAAATAGCAATTCATCAGTTTTAAGGTTCAAAACGCCCAAGTTTTGAAATGATTATGAATGATAAAAATGAGCCTCAGGCTTGTTTTGTTTATTTAAAGAACTGAATTTTTCAGGCCAGGCGCAGTGGCTCACGCCTATAACCCCAATATTTTGGGAGGCCAAGGTGGGAAGAATAATTGAGTCCAGGAGTTCAAGACCAGCTTGGGCAACAAAGGAAGATCCCATCTCTACAAAAATAAAAAAAATTAGTCAGGTACAGGGGCATGTGCCTATAGTCTCAGCTAATTGGGAGGCTGAGGCAAAAGGACCCCATGAGCCCGGGAGCTCGAGATTGCAATGAGTGATGATTGTACCCATTGCACTCCAGGTTGTGTGACAAAATGAGTCCCTGTCTCATTAAAAAAAAAAAAAAAATTGAATTTTTCAGATTAGGAATACAAAAGTAGGACATTTTAACAGAATGTTAAAAACATAATTATTGTCACAAATATATAGCAAATTCATTCTAAAAATAAGAGCAAAATATAGCTTTAAATGTTCATTTTATATATACTACATCTAATGATAATGACATTTAATGACCTTAATCATTTAATGTATACTTTTAAGATCATTAAAATTATCCCTAAGATTATATAAAAATACAATTATAAAACTGAAATACCTATCTCTGTGTTTCCTAAAAACATTTAAAATGAAAGCCTAATGACATTAATGAAATCAACTGCCAAATCATCACACTTTTGAGGCAACAGAATTTACTAGAAAGAACCTGAGTTTTACAGTCAGGCAAACCTGGTATTTGAATATGGGTGTCCTACTACCTGTCTGACTTCTACTGTAACCCCTTTGCAGCATACCAGCATGCCACATGGCATACAAGTTAGGAAGCTCTACTTTGAGTGTAGTTTCTACAGCTTTGCTACCAGCTTCATCTACTGTGCCCCACAGAATTCTATTTCTGTGATGAACAAACTCTTCTTCATGTTTAACCTCTCTCTACCAACCTCTTTAACATAACAAAAACTCTGAGGATACCAACTCATTTGTATTATCTGCAATGTCTTCTTTCCTCTTTTCTTCCCTTCCTTCTTTGGCTGACCAAACGATTATTCAATGTTGTTATGTCACAAGGTCTTGGGATATAACAAAAGAGAAATTATTCTTGGCCATGTGTGGTGGCTCACGCCTGTAATCCCAGCACTTTGGGAGGCCGAGGCAGGTGGATCATCTAAGGTCAGGAGTTTGAGACCAGCCTGGCCAACATGGCAAAACCCCGCCTCTATTAAAAATACAAAAAAATATCAGCCCGGTGTGGTGGTGTGTGCCTGTAGTCCCAGCTACTCGGGAGGCTGAGACAGGAGAATCGCTTGAACTTGGGAGGCAGAGGCCGTAGTGAGCTGAGATCGTACCTCTGCACTCTAGCCTGTGCAAGACAGAGCAACACTCTCCACAAAAAAAAAAAAAAAAAAAATCATTTCTGTTCTCAGAGATTACATTCTAGTGGGGAGGCAGAAAATTAAACAGCCATAATGTTTAATCTGGATGCAATAAAGAAAACGGGACAGGAATAAGGTAAGACTATTGAAGTAATCTAGATTAAGATAATGGTAGTCTAGGCTGAGATCGTAGCATTAAAGATGAAAAGTACATAGATGTGACAAATCTGAGACTGGATAAAGAGGATTGGATGTGAGGAATGAGAAGAGCGAGATGTCCAAATAACTCTTGGGACTTTTGGATTAGGTAGCTAGTGGCAGGTGTTGCCATTCATTGAAATAGGAAACACAGAGGGCAGGCTGTTCTAAGGGGAAGATGAGTTCAGTTCTAAATATGTTAACCCTGAAGTATATCTGGGGTTTCCAAAAGGAGACATTCAGTAGGCATTTGGATATATAGGAGCTCAGGAGAAAGCGATCCACCAGAAAGATAAATTTGGAGTCATCAGCAGAGATACAGTAATCAAAGCCATTGTATGAAATCACTCAGAGCCTAGGACAGAAACTTAAGAAACATTAATATTTAAGAAAAGCAGAGAAACAAAAGAAGACAAGGAAACTAAGAAAGTACAAAGAGAGAATGTGGTTACATGATGGTCAAAGAAAGGGAGAAGTTCAAGAAAGAAAGCTCAACATTGTTAAATGCTGTGGATAAATGAAGTTAAGTTGAAGAAAGAATTATTCTTTGGATTTAGCCATAATCTTTTTTTTTTTTTTTTTTTTTTTTTTTTTTTTAAAAGGCGTAGTTTTGCTCTGTTGCCCAGGCTGGAGTGCAGTGGTGTGATCTCGGCTCACTGCATCCTCCACCTTCCGGGTTTAAGCAATTCTCTGCCTCAGCCTCCTGAGTAGCTGGGATTACAGGCGCCCCCGCCACGCCTGGCTAATTGTTTTTGTATTTTTAGTAGAGACAGGGTTTCACCCCCTTGGCCAGGCTGATCTTGAACTCCTGACCTCGTGATCCACCCACCTCAGTCTCCCAAAGTGCTGGGATTACAGGTGTGAGCCACTACACCCGGCCTGGATTTAGCTGTAATCTTGTCAGGAAATTTTAGTGGCATCGTGGGGATAAAAGAAGGCAGATTTAGAAACAAGTAAAACAGGGAATTATGAATGGAGAAGGTCATTACTATAGAGAATGGCAGAAAACTGACTAGGGGATTTCTAGGAAAAATGTAGTGCTCAATACCAGCACAGTATTTAATAAATGCTTGTGGTGGTTATAATGCATTGGCCCTCAACTTCCATTCCATTCTCCTTCTAGTTTGCCTTCTGATACCAGGGAGGTTAAAAAGTTCTCAGGCTTCCCTGCAGCTAAGTATCTTGATATGACTCAGATTTTGCCAATTAGATGCCTTCATATAAGGTTTGGAAGGTGGAAGTGTGGTGATGCCTGCATCACAATTGAGGCACTGGAGCTCTGGTGTCTGCGTATATTTCAGCAATGGTAAAGAAGATCCCAGTATTCAGTATCTTTGGAGGTGCTGATAAGCAAGGAACAGGGAATCAGTTTTTTTAGTACAGATCTAGCAGGTGCACTGTAGCTCTGGAACTAACAGATGCAGCAGTAGCTTCCTAATGGCTGAATTGTAACTACAGTGATGTATTCGTAGAGCCCCAGGTGACACCAAAACCTGGTCAGACATGGTGGCTCACACCTGTAATCCCAGCACTTTGGGAGCACAAGGTAGGCAGATCACTTGAAGGGTCAGGAGTTCAAGATGAGCCTGGCCAACAGAGTGAAATCCTGTATCTATTAAAAATATTAAAAAATTGGCTGGGAACGGTGGCTCACACCTGTAATCCCAGCACTTTGGGAGACTGAGGCGGGTGGATCACCTGAGGTGAGGAGTTCGAGACCAGCCTGGCCAACGTGGTGAAACTCTGCCTCTACTAAAAGTACAAAAATAAGCTGGGAGTGGTGGCAGGTGCCTGTAATCACAGCTACTTAGGAGGTTGAGGCAGGAGAATCACTTGAGCCCGGGAGGTGGAGGTTGCAATGAGCCAAGATTGTGCCATTGCACTCCAGCCTGGGTGACAAGAGCAAAACTCCGTCTTAAAAAAAAAAAAAAAAGAAAAAAAATTAGCTGGGTCTGGTGGTGCCTGCCTGTAATCCCAGCTACTTAGAAGCTGAGGCACCGATAATCACTTGAACTGGGGAGATACAGGTTACAGTGAGCTAAGACTGTACCACTGCACTCCAGCCCGGGTGATAAGAGTGAGATTCTGTTTCAACAAAGAAAGAAACAAACAAACAAAAGAACCTCCAACATATGTTTTGAGAAAGGATATCTCACTGCGTTCCTAACTCATTACTTGACTGGTAAAATATGAAACTGAGATATTTCCATTTCTGGGGGAGTTTACGCAGAAAATAAACATGAACAGAAGATTGTGTTAAATCAATTATCTTTACAATAATGTATTTTTACTAAGCTAAATAATATTCCAAAATAAAACATAAATGTTTTACCTAAAACGCCTCCCACGCTGCTGGTTCATTTTTGCTCGAGGAGCCACACCATCGACAGCCATAAAGAACACTTTCCTGGGTTTAATAATGCGAAACAACACCTCCAGGTAGTGAAAAATATCAGTAAAGATTTTATCATCTGAAATTCTAAAGTGAACATCATCATCATTAGGATGGGAGCACTGATGTATAATTCCATTCATATCCAGGTACAAGTTGTCAAATTCAGGAATCTGAAAAACAAAGAAAAATGCTTGAGATAATTTATTTTAATCAACTACAGATAAGCAGCAGGGAAAAGTGATTATTCAATTATAAAAAGCAGGATTTGTGTATTCTACTATATAAAAACCGAGCAAACAATCACAGATGAATTAAAAAAGTAAAGAATTGGTAATATGGTGACAAATTTGGTTATATACAATGCACCAATGACTTGATCAAATTTACTGTCAGGAAATAATCTACTTATTCAAAATAATATGCTCCAAGAAAACACCAAATAAAGTGCTTGGTTCACTTGGTACTCAAAATATTAGTTTAGTTCCTTCCTACCATTTGACATCAACTCCTCAAGACCTCAATTTCCTCTATAATGGGTAACAAAAAGCCCATTTACATCAAAAGGCTGTTTCTACATGGTTATCGAAAGGTTTAACATATGATGTAAAGCCTAATTGTATACTTAGTTTCATTGAAACAGTCACTGATTGGTTATATTAATTTTTACAATGTTAGATTATGCCAAGAAATTTATGAAACTGAAACCTGAAAAACAGATTTCTTGTTTGTAATATGTGGGTTAATAGTTTGTAAAATCCGACTAACAAGCATCTGCTTTTATAAGATCTTAATGGCTCTCTCATTTGTTTTTCCTCTGTTTAAACGTTTGTGTTGGAACTCTTGGTCCCATCAGGAACAAAAATTTTTTTAGAAAGAAAAAAAATAAATGTGTGTGAGGAAGGGGAACATTACTGAAACAAACATACATTAAGATGGAACTGAAATGGGTGCAACTAAGGAGTTATATTTTGTAGTGTAATGAAAGAATCTTAGAATAGAGTCTGCCTTACACATTCATTAAAGTAAATTACTTTGAATTTTCAAACATAAAAACATAAGGAGCTCTCCTTGTATAAACATAATAGAATCACTTCTGAAACAGTAATTCAAGTTTTACAACATGTACAGGTAACAATATATTTTCCTGCTATTGAGAAAATGGCATGCCTTTGAGTTTTGGGAGTAAAAAGTTTTGGTCTCTGAACCAATGAACACCATCTAGAATGTTCTTACTGAGTAACAAGCTCAACTGAAACGACAGCTGTAACCATAAGATTTTTAAAGTGCACTCAAGATTAACTATTTGTTCCAAGAAATCTGAAAACCTCAATCAAAATCTCAGTGTGACTGTTCATCAGGGGTATTTTTATTTTTATTTTTTGAGACAAGGTCTCGATCTGTCACCCAGGCTGGAGTGCAGTGGTGCGATCTTGGCTCACTGCAGCCTCCATCTCCCAAGCTCAAGCAATCCTCCCACCTCAGGCTTCAGTGTAGCTGGGACCACTGACACATGCCAACACACATACTAATTTCATATCTTTTTCATATGCTAATTTCATACATTAATTTTCATATATTTTGTATGAAAAAATACCAGTGATGTTGCCCAGGCTGGTCTTGAATTCCCGAGCTCAAGCGATTTGCCTGCCCAGGCCTCCCAAAGTGATGGGATTACTACAGGTGTGAGCCACTGCGCCTGGCCTCAGCACCAATGACTTGATCAAAAAAAAAATTTTTTTTTTTACATTTTACATTTTATAGAATGTTTTACATTTTACAGAACGATTCCAAAGTTTTCCTAGAATAAATATGCAATAATGGCCAAGAACAGTATTAAAAAGAAGAGTAAGCTGGGTGTGGCAGCAAGTGTCTGTAGTTCCAGCTACTTGGGAGGCTGAGGTGAGAGGATCTTTGAACCCATAGGTTCAAGGCTGCAGTGAGTGGTGATTGCATCACCAAACTCCAGCCTGGGAGACAGAGTAAGACCCTGTCTCTATAAAACAAACAGACAAAAAGAAGAATCAAAGGAAATTTTCCCTAGATAAATTATCAAACAGATGGTTTGATTGGAAATACAGTATATAAAAAATAAAACTCCATCTTACCCTAAAACAAAAGAAATTCCAGAAGGATTAGAAATTTTACTGTGAGAAATGTAACCAAAAAAAAATTACATACACATATTTTGAAACTCTTAGGGTAGGAAAAGCCAGAAATCATAAAGCAAATAAATGGTATAGTTAGCTATCTAAAAATGTATTGTTTTAAATATACAGGGTTAAAAAGTGCCATATATAATTCAATTAAAAATGACAAAACATAGGGAAATGTTTGCAAATGAGAAGTCAACATCTCTAACACATAAAAAATTCTCAAATATAAGAAAAAGGGCAAATTTTTGGCTGGGCACGGTCGCTCACACCTGTAATCCCAGCACTTTGGGAGGCCAAGGTAGACAGATCACTTGAGGTCAGGAGTTCAAGTCCAGCCTGGCCAAAAAGTGAAACCGTCTCTACTAAAAATACAAAAATTAGCCTGGGTGGTGGCGCGTGCCTGGAATCCCAGCTACTTAGAAGGCCGAGGCATGAGAATTGCTTGAACCTGGGAAGCAGAGGTTCTAGTGAGCTGAGATCATGCCACTGCACTCCAGCCTTGGCAATAGAGTGAGACTGTCTCAAAAAAAAAAAAAAAAAAGAGCAAATTTTTAAAGTAATCACAGAAAATGCAAAACTAGTCAGAAAAGAATAAACACAAAAGGCTAATAAGCACATGAAAAGATGTTCACCATCCAAAATTTCTAATTGAAAGGACACATAATTTTCCCCACATTAGTAAACATTAAAGAGACTGATGTTACCCAGTATTAACAAGGCTTTGGGGAAGCACATATTTCATATGTTATTAAAAGCAATGGCTGGCATTTATTATGCAATTATTAGATATTAAACATTGGGCTAAATATGTATATTCATTATCTGACTTAATTATAACAACCTTAAAAGATAAATATTTAGCATTCTAATTTTGGAGAAAAGTCGTGGAGCTAGAAAAACAGAAATGGGGTTTACACCCAATAGTATGGGACTAGAATGTAAATTGGCATAACTAACCACAAAGTACGAATTAAAATTTGAAACATGTGTATCTTTGACCCAGGATTTCTACTACTGAAAATTTATTCTGAAAAATAATCAGATATGATAAGATATAAGTATAAAATATTCATGGCAGTATTGTACAGAAAAGATAGAAATAGAAAACTGATAATGGTACATCTATACAATGGAATTCAACACAGCAATTACAAATTATGAAACAGATTCATATTTGGCATGGAATAATGTGCATAATATATATAATCAAGTGACAAAGGCAAGGTATAAAACAGCAGGTAAAGTATCCTATTTATAGGAAATATTTATTTACATATACATCTGCATAGAAAAGTTAGGAAGTATATAAAAACAAGATGTTACTAGTGGTCAACCATGGATGATGAAAGCTTTTACTTTCCTCTAGACTATGTAATAGTTTTTATATCTTTCTGCATTATCTGATTTTTAAAAAATAATGAGCATATATTACCTTTATAATCTAAAAAATACCCCACTATAATTTTCCTTTTAGAAAAGAAATATTTGAAAAATTCTCTTAGGTTTCAGATTAGTAAAAAAGACAAAGAATAATTAATCATTGGCCAATGTGTTGAATAAAGTGAGAACATATAGTAGAATTTTGCTCCCATACAAAGAGATTACTGATAATGTAGTTTCTCTTCTCAGTTATTACATTTGCAAGTGAGAAATTTCAAGGTTATTTTATACTTTCTGCCTTCTCCAATCCCATATCTAATTAGTCACTGAGGTATTTTTCTTTTTAATTTAACATCTAAAATGTTTCTAGAATCTTACCATCTTATCCATTTCCACTGTCTTAGGTAATCTCATCCTGTTCTCCATCCCCAGATCTCCTGCACTGGTCCATGACCCTCAGTTTCCCAACAGAACTGCTTGCTTCCAGTTTCCTCTCTCACCACAGTTTAGCTATTTTTCTAAAACATAATCTGATCACATTGCTTCCTCACTTAAACCCACAAGATACTACAAATCCTTAATAGCATAAAAGGTCCTGCATGATTTGGCTACTGTTTTCCCCACCGACTGTATATTCTTTCCTATTTCTATGTATCTTTACAAGCTACTACAAGAAAACATTGAAGAAAATCTCTAGGATATTGGTCTGGGCAAAAATGTCTCAAGTAATATCCCACGAGCGTAGGAAACTAAAGCAAAAATGGAGAAATCGGATCCCATTAAGTTAAAAAGCTTCTGTACAGCAAAGAAAACAATCAGCAAAGTGAAGAGACAACCCACGGAATGGGAGAAATGTATTTGCAAACTACTCACCTGACAAGGGGTTAATAATCAGAATATAGAACGAGCTCCAATAACTCTATAGGACAAAATCTAATAATCCAATCAAAAATGGGCAAAAGATCTGAACAGACATTTCTCAAAAAAGGATATACAAATGACAGACACATGACAAGGTGATCAACATCACTGATCATCAGAGAAATGCAAATCAAAACTACAATGAGATATCATCTTACCCCAGTTAAAATGGCTTATATTCAAAAGACAGGCAACAACAAATGCTAGCAAGGATGTGGAGAAAAGGGGACCCTCATACACTGTTGGCAGGAATGTATTTAGTACAACCACTATGAAGAACAGTTTGAAGGTTCCTCAAAAAACTAAACAATAGAGCTACCATATGATCCCAGCAATCCCACTGCTGTGTTAATATAACCCAAAGAGAGGAAACCAGTATATCGCAGAGATATCTGCACTCTTTTGTTTGTTGCTGTACTGTTCACAATAGCCAAGATTTGGAAGCAACCTCAGTGTCCATCAACAAATGAACGGATAAAGAAAATGTGGTACATATATACAATGGAGTACTATTCAGCCATAAGAAGGAATGAGAGCCTGTCATCTGCAACCACATGGGTGGAAATGGCAATCATTATGTCAAGTAAAATAAGTCCAGCACAGAAAGACAAACATTGCATGTTCTCACTTATTAATGGGATCTAAAAATCAAAACAGTAGAACTCATGGACATAGAGAATAGAAAGATGGTTCCTAGAGGCTGGGAAGGGTAGTGGGGGAGTCAGGGGAGAGGTGGGAAAGGTTAATGGGTATAAAAGAAAAACTGAAAGAATGAATAAGACCTAGGCTGGGTGCGGTGGCTCACACCTATAATCCCAGCACTTTGGGAGGCCGAGGCGGGCAGATCACTTGAGCCCAGTAGTTTAAGACCAGCGTGGGCAACGTGGCAAAACCCCATCTCTATTTTTAAAAAGATTTAAATTAAAACAAACAAAACAAAAAAACACAGGCCAGGCACGGTGGCTCATGCCTGTAATTCAAACACTTTGGGAGGCTAAGGTGGGCGGATGACTTGAGGCCACCAGGAGTTGGAGAAGAACCTGGCCAACACAGCGAAACTCCATGTCTACCAAAAACACAAAAATTAGCTCGGTGTGGTGGCACACGCCGTTTGTCTCTTTTTAATCAAATATTTTTGAAAGGCATCACAACGATGAACCAAATTTCAAAATTTATTTACAGTGAAATTTAAAATTAATTCTCCTCCCAGTTTCTATACAAAAACTTTGGTTTCTAGTTTCTCTTTCTGTTTTTACAAGATGATTCAAAGAAACTGAAAACCTATGCTACTGAGGCACAAGAATCGCTTGAACCGGGGAGGTAGGGGTTGCAGTGAGCCAAGATTGCACCACTGTACTCCAGCGGGGGTGACAGAGCACGACCTTGTATCCAAAATAAAAAATAAAAAAAAAGAATGAATAAGACCTACTATGTGATAGCACAACAGGGTGACTATAGCCAATAATTTAAAAACAACTAAAAGAGTATAATTAGATTGTAACACAAAGGATAAATACTTGAGGGGATGGATTCTCCATTCTCCATGATGTGATTATTACACACTGCCTGCCTGTATGAAAACATCTCATGAACCCCATAAATACATACATTTACTATGTATCACAAAAATAAAAAATAAACAAAATAAAAAATCCCAGGCTTCATTTCATTTTTTAAAAAAATACCGTTTTACAACATACTATCATGTCTATTTTAATATGCATTTCTATATACATTTTATATGCTATATGCTATAGCTAATAAATTAATTCACTCAAAAAATATTTACTGAGTACTCATTCTGTTATGCTGCTTTGTTTTTTTTCTTTTTCAGGCGCCTCTATTATTTGTCTTCTTTGCTCATCTTTCTTATTGTTACTTTTTCTTGAATCTTTTAAATCTACTTTATTTTTTAAAATGTCATCTTTCCACCGCCGATTGTTTTCTTAAATGGCATCTTTTGCTCTTGTCTTGTTTCTATTTGAGGCTTCAGCTCTGAAATTCTTTTTTTCATTTACTTCTAATTTTCTCTGTCATCTCATTCCCACATCTTCATAATTGATATATGTTGTTCTTTCATGTCTCATGTCATTTTCTTAATGCCTTTTAACTCATTGTGAAATAGATAACAGTTGTGGTTATAATTTTGGTCTATTTTGTGTGCATTTGTTTCACTGCAAGTTTTTATGTCTGGAGAGATATTCTGTCCCTTTTTCTCGTATAATAACTTTGTGATTTGATCTCAATACATTTCTGTAACTCATTTTTATGTGAATTTAATTTTCTTGAACTTTTAGAATGAGTAGGTTCAGGGAATATAAGTTCACAAAGCTGTTTCTGGGCAGTGTTAAAAAATACATGGGTTTGCTCTGTGGTTTTCTAAGATTTCTTGATTCTATGACTTTGCCTCACTTTTATATGGACTATCTCCTTCTCTTCTTGTCTCTATTTTGTCCCTTTCATAAAATTTTATTCCACTCCCAGCATAAAATTTTCGTAAGATTTTATACCACTCCCTTTTCCTTAGGGGTCTGGTCTAGAATGGCACCTTGGCAAGTCAGTTTTGAGTGTTCACAGGAGGTAAACTACTCCTGCCTAATTGGTCTTTCTTATGGTAGACCTTCACCCAATCAATAATGGAGAGAATAAAACACCTCTGAGCTACTGCTATCTAATTGGCCAGCATAGTCTTTTAGTCGATACTGTTGGCTATTCTGGAATTCTCCTTTTCTAAGGTTCATCAGATGTTGTCCCATTGCTGCCTTCTCGCTTTTGCAGAGATGTCAATATCAACTGTGTCTAGAGACTATTGATAGTTTGCCTCACCTAGTTATGTTTTGGGTTTCACGGCGATAGCAAGTCACATGGTTTGTTGTAATTGTTTTATGGATTTTAAACTTTGGTTTCTAGTTTCTCTTTCTGTTTTTACAAGATGATTCAAAGAAACTGAAAACCTATGCTACTGAGGCCACACCACTGACTTCCCATAACTCACTTCTTCTCCCTATCCTTTCCCCTCAGGACTAGCTTTTCAATGTCTGTGACTTATTAGGCATTACCATCTTTAAGTTCTACTTAACAGAGAAGCTGGTAACCCTTTGGTCTCTTTTTAATCAAACATTTTTGAAAGGCATCACAACGATGAACCAAATTTTAAAATTTGTTTACAGTGAAATTTAAAAATAATTCTCCTCCCAGTTTCTATATAAAGCTTTCACAAAACCTATCTTTAGTGTCCATGTCATAAAACTGCATTAAAAAGATTTTCATTCTTCAGTAACAAAATTCCTCAGTATGGAGAGAATCTAAGATATTTTCACCAAACCAAATTCTGTGCCACAGACTACAGAATAAAAATATTACTGAATAAATTATGTATTAAATCATCCCGAATAACCATCGCATTATTTTTGCACTTTAGAGATAAAGTGACTGATGTATAACAGGTACTCATTGAAGGATGCAAGAAAAGCCAAAGTTGGTTGTCTCCATTTTTGCAATGTACTGGTTTCCTTTTCAGCCCTCCCCGGGGGAAAAAAAATACTTCTCTAAATCTAACTCAATCAAAGTTTCAAATAAATTCAAGATAAACTAACCTTGGAAAGTTTTTGTAGTCTATTTCTCATCTACCAAATCTGATTGGAATCCAGCAACAAAAAATCCTTTCCAGAAGTAAACTACCTTCATGTTCGTAAATACCGATTAAACCACAATTTAATAGGCTATTTACAATACTACCCATCACGACTGATTCAATCAGCTACACAAATTTCAAACTTATTTTTTTTTCTGTAAAACATCAGACAAGAGATCTATCAAATTCATTAAATGTGACAAACACCAAAGTATTACCCAAAGTCTAGTTTACCTAATAGAGGGCTGCTTTCTCCTCTCTTTCCACAGTTCCAATATATAAACTACGTTTTTGGAATCTAAACACTAACGTTGCCCTGGGGTCAGTACATGCCAAATATTATTAGTAGTATTAATGTTCTATCAATTCGTTTCCCACCCCCCTCTGTCACACAGCAAGGCCTCCAAATAAAAGGTCCTACGCCTCACTCCCCAGCCCGCCCAAGAGTTTTTGTTTTGGCAACGGGGGATTGGTGGTGCTTTTGAGATAACAGAAAGTAACAAAAGGCATCATCAATATGAACCGTCAGCCACGTCGGAAAGTCTAGGCGCCGGGGGGCGGGTGGGCAGCGCTCTAGATCAGGTAAAGTAAACAAGGTGACTGCGTGTGGAGGCGGCTGTTATTGTTTGTACGTGGGTCTGCCGCTCTGGGTGGGATGGGGGAATCTACGAGGACACCCACCCCAGCTTCGCAGCCTCTGTAAGAAAAAGGCAACTTGCAGGTTCCCGAGAGGAAACAGGAGAACGGTAAAAGCGTTCTTTCCCAGGACTTCATTTCGGAATCGCGGAAAGACCAGCCGAAGCAGGAGCTGTCAGAGCGGCCGTGAACCCAATGGCTCTGTCCACACACAGCAACCTGCCTCCTTGGCCCCTTTCGGCTCATCCGGGCGTCCTCAAACCTTCCGTCCCCCTCCCCATGCCACTTATCGTCCAGACGACGAGGGGAAAGAGGTGGCCCGAAAGCCGCAGCTCCAGGGTGGAGAGGGCCGCTGAGCCCCGGGTCCTCGGCCTTCTGAGCCGTTGCCCCTCGCTCACCCACCTGATGCTCTTTCACCACTTCGCTGAGGCAGGGATACCGCTCTGAGATCCATCGGTAAAACTTGGGGACTCCCATTTCGACCGTCAACACTAATCCCAGTCACGGCCAAACCGAAACCAAACGCCCCGCCGGGGCTCCGCCGCCGCCTCCGGCCGTCGCTCCGCGGATGACAACACACCGCCCGGCCGACCATAGAGAGCGCCCGCTGGGCCTAGAGCGGCAGGATCCGAGGCCGTCCCAGGGGCGGGGCTTAGTCCGCCTGGCCTCGCGCAGCAGGGGCCGCGGTACTGGTCAGTGACGGTCGGGGGATCTGCGGAGTTTTGCTCGTGTGCTTCCACGTAGGTGCGAAAATGTCCCAGGATAGAGCTATGCTTTCTAAGTGGATTTGGAATTGGCATAAAAACCGCACGAAGGTGTGGGAAGGGTATCGAACACTGATTTTTGTTACGCTTCTGTCTCCTAGGGTTGCTAATCTCAGTATTTTTCAAACAGATTTGGAATGATGATTTATTTGGCTTAGTTTGTTTTGCCAAGAATTTTTTTCTCTGAGGAATTTAAACCCACGGTAAAGTTTTTTTAAAAACGTTCTTTTCCAAATTGTTCAAAAATTTCCCAAGTACCCGCCCCCCGCAACTGTTAACATAAGACCTTGGATACGAAATCATTTGTTTAGTTTTTACATTCATGCGTCCGCGTTTATCATATTTTTCTCCATCACACTTTCAACCGGACAGCAAAGGAGAGTTCTATCAATTTAAGTGAAATTATCAGTTTTAAATGTAAGAGTTTTCCACTTATTTGAATGTAGTAACCTCGTTACTTTGTATTTAAGTCTTCTGAACGAAAACTTACAGAAAAACCTTAAACATTTAATACTTTTTGGATTTTAAGATCTCAGGAAATGCTAAGTATCGCTGTCTTTCATGACCACTGGATTCTGCATTCTGGGACTGCAGTATGGCAGCATCATACAAATTACAGAATGTTTATTTTGTTCTCATATTCACGCTTCCTGGCTTATATTTTTTCCCTATCACACTTTAAAACAAAGTTACATTAAGTGAACTTAATGATATGCTATTTATATTAATATTTATATTTATATTTATATATCTCTCTTACTAGACTGTCACTTCTTGGAGGGCAGGAGAGGGTAACTCTATGCACAAGGCTGGCGCAATGCCTTGCCCACGGTATTCATTCCATATAATTTTGTTCTTCAAGTGAATCCTTACAGTAGCTAGGACTTTTAAAAGGAAATCAATAGAAGTTGTAAAATGAAATTAGGTTAGGCTTGTTTCTTGCAAATACAGTTTTTGACCATAAGAACACATGATATTCCATTTCTCCAATTATAATGCACAGTATGTATTAAGAAAGCAGTTTATTTCTTAATAACTGAATGTTATTTTACATATAATTAATGATCAGAGAGAAATAACAGTTGCTCTGAGAACGTAAATTTATATTGTACTTTAGAATTGAACAGATACAACCACAGATTCATACCAAATGCATTACTTTTAGATTAACATATTCTTTTACATAATTTCATTTCACATATATGGGGTCCAACCAAGATACATCTGGCATAGTAAGTTTTCATCAGTAGCTTCTTGTATAAGGTAATGCACATGTCCTTCAATAGATAATGGCAGTCCTGTCACTCTATTTCGAGTCTTGATTACACCTTGTAGTCGCTGCTCAATGTCAAGAACATGGGTCTTGGCCTAAAAAGAAGAAATATAAAACCAAAAACAGATGTTGATAATTCGGAATTTCTACCTTTCTTTATATTTTGACATTTAATAAATGTTAGTACCATTTTACTGACCAATACCCCTTTTGTAAGAGCAAATACAGGAAAAGAAGCGAACAAATACAGTTAACTTGTGATACTGATTTTGAGGCCTGCAAGATTGATTCAACATCAACTGCTTGGACATGTTTCTGGACTACGTGAAATATCAGGGAATTATTTACACATTACAATTCTAGAAAAATAATTTTTAAAATCTGCTTTGGAAGTGTTTAGTACTTAAACATTTGAATGAATATTTGAATAACAATGATCTACTGCCTAATATTTACATGATGTTAGTACACACAAATGGGTGTTCTAAGTGAGCTACTTGGAACTGTACAATTTCTTAAGCATATCTGAATGCAAAAGGAAGAATAAAGTTATTATAAGAATAATTCTTGGAGGTGGTGCTGGGTGGGCCGGTGGGCTGGGCTGCAGCCCGCGAATGCAAAGAGGAGGGCCACGGGATGGGGGCTGTTGCTGTGCTGTCTGCCATCGACTTTTCCGCCAAGAGCCTGGACTCCAAATGTGACTTATGTTCCAGCAGAACTCCAGGTGTTTAAAAGAACCCCTACAACAGCCAACTTTTCCTTTATGCAGTTGCAAACCAGCTCCTGCTTATTTCTTTGGTGAAGCACTTGAGCCATGTGCATGAACCAAACCCAGTTAACACAGGTGTTTAAGTTACTTTGCCAGACCTTTATCCTAATGGGTCTGCTGTGTTCTTTCACTTGTGACGAGTTTAGCTCATTGAGACTACATCACCACAGAGCTATTACTCACTTAATGAAGTCCACTAAAGAGAGAGTTCATCAGGATCCTTGTGAGACTATTTCTCATATCCAGAAAAATCAGATCAAGGGAAGTAGCCTTTGAAGCACAAACTTCATGTTACTTAAATGAATTTGAAAAACTTGCCATCTTAGGAAAAGGTGGATATGGAAGAGTATACAAGGTCAGGAATAAATTAGATGGTCAGTATTATGCAATTTAAAAAATTCTGATTAAGGGTGCAACTAAGATTGCATGAAGGAACTATGAGGAATGAAGGTGCTGGCAGTCCAGCACCCTAATATCATTGGTTATCACACTGCGTGGACAGAACATGTTCAAGTGATCCAACCACAAGCAGATAGAGCTTCCATTCAGTTGCCATTTCTGGAAGTGTTCTCCGACCAAGCAGAGGAGAGATACCAATACGGTATTAAAAATGGTGAAAGTAGCAGCTCATCCATTATCTTCACTAAGCTCACCTCAGAAAAGAAAAACCCTTTTGAGAATCTGACACTCAGAATAACAAGCTGGTGAACTATACCATCAATTCCATCTTAAGAGACACCAGTGAATTTGAATCATCCCTGGAGCTCCTGGAAAATGGCTTGGCGGGTTTGTCCACCAGGTCAGTTGTGGAACAGCCCCAGCTGCTCAGCTGTAATTCCCTCCAAGAGGAGAATTTCACATCCACTGAGGAATCTTCCAAAGAAAACTTCAACTTGTTGGGGATAGAGGTGCAGTACCACCTGATGCTGCACATCCAGATGCAGGTGTGCAACTCCACCTGTGGGACTGGCTAGCCGAGAGAAACAAACAGGGCCAAGAGTGTGTGGATAAGTTTGCTTGTCCTTATGGCCAGTGTTGCAACAAAAAATATTCAAGAATTAGTGGAAGGTGTGTTTTACATACATAACATGGGAATTGTAAACAGAGATCTGAAGCCTAGAAATATTTTTCTTCATGGCTCTGATCAGCAAGTAAAAATAGGAGACTTTGGTCTGGCTTGCCCAGACATCTTACAAAAGAACACAGACGGCCGGGCGCGGTGGCTCAAGCCTGTAATCCCAGCACTTTGGGAGGCCGAGACGGGCGGATCACGAGGTCAGGAAATCGAGACCATCCTGGCTAACATGGTGAAACGCCGTCTCTACTAAAAATACAAAAAACTAGCCGGGCGAGGTGGCGGGCGCCTGTAGTCCCAGCTATGTGGGAGGCTGAGGCAGGAGAATGGCGTGAACCTGGGAGGCGGAGTTTGCAGTGAGCTGAGATCCGGCCACTGCACTCTAGCCTGGGTGACAAAGCGAGACTCCGTCTCAAAAACAAAAACAAAAACAAAAACAAAAAAAACCCAAAAACAAAAGAACACAGACTGGACCAATAGAAATGGAAACAGTACACCAACACATATATCCAGAGTGGGCACTTTTCTGTACACTTCATCCCAACAGTTGGAAGGATCTGAGTATGATGCCAAGGGTCTCACTCTTGCCCAGGCTGGAGTGCAGTGGGGTCATCATAGCTCACAGCAGCCTCCAACTCCTGGGGTCAAGTGATCCTCCCACCTCAGCCTCCCAAGTAGCTGGGACTACAGCAGTGTGCCACTGTACCCGGCTAATTTAAAAAAAACTATTTGTAGAGACCAGGGCTGGCTTTGTCCAGTTAGATATGTATATAGCTTGAGTCTGATTCTGCTAGAGCTCTTTCAGCTGTTTAGAACAGAAATGGAGCAAGCAGAAGTTTTAACAGGTTCAAGAACTGGTCAGATACTGGAATCCCTCAGTAAAAGGTATCCACTACAAGCCAAGTATATCTAGCACTTAATGAAAAGGAACATGTCCCAGAGACCATCTGCTCTTCAACTGCTACAGTGAACTTTTCCAAAATTCTGGAAATATTAATCTCACCCTACAGATGAAGATAATAGAGCAAGAAAAAGAAATTGAAGAACTAAAGAAGCAGCTAAACCTCCTTTCTCAAGACAAAGGGTTAAGGATGACATGAAGGATGGGGGCGTACGGGTCTAGCCTTCCTCAAGCTATATCAGTGGGATGAAAGTGGATTTAAACTCTTAAGGTAGTTAACTGGAATGTAAACTTTTAATCTTTATTAGAGTATAGTTGGTATAATTCATTGTATTTAGTAAGCCTGTACAAGACTTTTTTTTTTTTTTTGAGACAGAGTCTTGCTCTGTCGCCCAGGCTGAAGTGCAGTGGCCAGACCTCAGCTCACCGCAAGCTCCGCCTCCCGGGTTTACGCCATTCTCCTGCCTCAGCCTCCCGAGTGGCTCGGACTACAGGCGCCCGCCACCTCGCCCGGCTAGTTTTTTGGTTTTTTTTTGGAAATAGTTGGGGTTTCACCTTGTTACCCAGGATGGTCTCAATTTCCTGACCTCGTGATCCGCCTGTCTCGGCCTCCCAAAGTGCTGGGATTACAGGCTTGAGCCACCGCGCCTGGCCAAGACTTGTTAAAGATGTAAGAGTGGCCTCCCCACCAAAAATAATCCTCAGTTTATTCTAACTTATTAAAAACAACTATCTGAGCTAGGTGCGGTGGCTTATGCCTATAATCCCTGCATTTTGGGATGCTGAGGTGGGTGGATCACTTGAGACC